TCTGATTTCATTCGAAAAAAAAGAGAAAATACGTATATATTAAAATTTCACAAACTTGTCATAATGACTTCATCGATATTCGGTTTGATAGGGTTATTTCGAACGATTACACAGATATTCGCGTTCTAAGTTTCCATATGCTCAATGAGTGTGACAGAGAAAGCAGTTTTGATATTGCGAAGTCCCACCCATTGAATATATGGAAACTTCGAAAGCAAATATCTTTGTATTCGTTTGAAATAACCCTATCAAACCTTGTGTCATTGAAATCGTCATGATAATCCCTAACCGATTATGGAATACAATACAAGGTGTCCCATTTGAAAATCAAAAGTTGGGGTCGTTTCCGGTAAAACTGTGGAAGTGTAGAAAAAAAATTTATTCAACAATTAATGAGCAATTTGATATACTTGCTACCCACCAATTTTCAAAACACTATCTAGAATAATTCGAAAGTAACAATCCTGAACGTTTTTTGTGCCCTTCTCTGTATAGTGCGCTTTAGTTTTGCTTTCTTGGTCATGATGAGATGAGCATGCATCCGAAAAATATAGTCTATATTTCATGAGTGCGACAATACTAAAATGCGAAGGAAACTATTTCTGTTTCATAGGCCAAAATGTTAAATTTGAAAGACCTTTCATTTAGGGTGATTCTGAATTCTGAAATAGGAAAATATTATCCTTTCAAAAACAGTCCGAAAATTATTTGTACACGGAGGCGAAGAATATTTATTTTCAAACCGGCTCTGCCTACTATACGTGCATAATTAATTTCACATGTGAATACCCACTTCCACAATGCGATCAGAACCGCTGACTCATAGATGCTACATCCTCGCGAAAGTGTTTTGTTATTGTTATTTGAGTCACTGATAACTTGATGATAATAAGTGAACCTACGTATTCATTACATCAATAGAGAAATATATACCTGATAAACATCATATCTATCCTCAAATTATTTTCGTCTCAATAATAGGGAATCAAAAGTGCGAAAAAACTCATGAGTAATTTTTTTTTTCTGGAAAACCCCTGTACGGTGGCGTGTTGCTTAACCCCGTCCAGTAGAGAGCAGTCAGAGCACTAAAGGCGTTTTCGGAAACCTACTCGGGTTGACTGGATCCCTAACCTGCACGTTCGTTTACCTAACCCGAGTAACATACCCATGTTCGGAAACTTCGGTGTTACTTACTCGATCACTTACTCGGGTTCATGTTTCGCAACCCTGCTCCAAAGCAGGGTCAGCCAGAGTTACTACTTTAGATCATACACTTACTACCACAGAACTACTCACGATTCATGTATTTCTAAGGTCACTTCAGATATTATTTGATTTCATCAATTGAACAAGAAGTGAATAATGTTTAACAGCATTAGTTTAATGATGAAAATACACCAACATCATGAGCAGAAGCAATATACATCATTTCTAGAACAATAACAAAGTGTATCTTTTAAGAGTTTAGTGGTATGTTTTTAAAGATATGGAGAAATTGATCCGAAAATATTGATATCGTATAGCAAACTGAGAAAATTGCATACAGCTGTAAGAAATAAAGAAGTTCTATTCCAAGAGGTACAAAGCTAACTCAATAAAATAGTAACCTGATAAGTTCGTAAACTATAGTATTAGGATAAGTGATCCGACTGATCCATCACGTGACCCGTTCAGATCGAGTCAACAACCCAGAGTAAGTTTCCGAAAACGCCTTAAGAGAGTAAGAGCACCCACTGTTTTCCGTACTCTGAATCACTCGAGTGTTGCCAACGCAGTGTTGCCAGGTGTGGCGCATTTGCGCCAATGTGTCGCTTCCAAAATTAAAATGGCGTGATAATTTCAATTGAATGCGCCTGGCGCGAAAAGTGGCGCTTTGAAATTTGAACTCCGCATCAGCGTATTAGCATAATTAGCTGAAGACCGTAGAATAAAAAACATTAATAATAGGAAGTTGAGTTTTAATTCTTTCAGAGTTTTCGCGGTATTTTATCCTTATTGTTTTTTGGGCTCTCATTTTTCAAATGCAGTGACATTTTGGGGCAAATCATCTGATACTACACAAATATTGAAATATCGATGGAATATTGTATTAATTCTCATATTATTCTTAGAAACGGGAGAATAAAATCTCAAAAAAACCTGGAGTAATATGAATGTTCCAACTCCTTGATTAACCTACAGACAGAATTCAATATCAAGTAGGTATGTTTCGTTTCAAAAATCTATATAATATGTATTGAAAAGGAATATTCTCATGATGAATTGAAAACATAAGAAAATTAAAAAATGGATATACTTATGGAGAAATATATTGAGAATTCGCATGCTCTATGTGATAAAAATATCAATTCTTTCTCGGTTTATTCCACAGAAAACGATACTACTTTCCTGTTGAATAAACCGAGAGAGAATAATTGATATTTTTATTGCATGGATAATGCTAATCCTCAATGTATTTATTTATATGTATATCCATTTCATTCAGTTTTTCATGTCTTACCTCCAATTTCATTTCAATCCCTATATTTTTTATTGTTGCCACTCGATTGTAAACGTCGAGCTTACTCAAGGCTAGAAATATTTGCACTTATTTCAATGCCACCCTGTATATATAGATTTCAGAATCACAGATGTTGAATGAAGCTGATTCTGAGATGAAATTCAACAATCGTGGTCCTAGGAACGCAAAACATTTGGTTTATTTGCTAAAGGGAATTTCACTTTATCAGCATATATATTTAGCTCTCATTGTTGAGTAATTATGGGAGATATCCTTTTTATATTTGAGAAAATCTATAGAGTATCCCGCTTGCTTCTTTATATATAGGTTGCCTGAAGAATAATTTCTTTCCTTCGGAGATATAATCTGGAGAAAGTTTTTTTGTAAACATTTAATAAAAAATATTTCTCTTCATGATATATGAAATCTCACATTTTTGAAAAAAATATTTTTATTATCTACTTGGGGGAAAATTGAAAACCATTTCGAGGAATACGCTGGAGAATTATGAAAATTGGATTGAAAAAATCCTAAAAATATTCCGTCAAATTGGGAACATGGCGAATTCTCGAACATTTCATCATCGGTCTTATATCCAATAGCATTATATTCGAAAGGAAGAAAGCCGCACACGAATATGTGTAGTCAATCAATCAATCAATCAATCAATCAATCAAATCTTTATTCCTTTTGTCGAAAACGTCAACATTTTTTTAAAAATACATAAAACACACAATACAGTAGAAAATAAAATATAACTGTACCGGACAATCCAAGAAATCTTGCACAGTATAAAAAGAATGTTGCACCAAAAATGTTTTGAGGCGCGTTTTGAAAACTTTAAGTGTTGAACTTGATTTAATATTCTCAGATAAATGATTGAAAATACGTGGTCCTATGAAGTTAGGTGCATTTTGGGCTACTTTGTATTATCCAATTTGTGTGTGAATTAGGCCTTTCTGGCGAGTATTCATGTTATGAATGTCTTTATTAAGTTTGAAATAGGTTATGTTGCAATAAATATAACATGCAATCTCAAATATGTATAGTATGTGTGTACCCCCGTGGAAGTAATCTTGGCGGTGCCCAGGCCTATTACCTACGTTCGATTTCAATACATACCTACCTAATAATCCAGAATTTAGAAATAATATTCCATTTTTTTCAAAATGAATCAGGAAAGCAGTAAATCATCCCAGACAGCACTGGATATTCATAGAATATTCTCTAAATATGCTAAAAAGGAGGAGTATATTCCGAATATTCATCGATTATTCCTAGAATATATACATGCCTCTGGAACATCTAAAAGGAATATTCCAAAGTGAATAGTCGGACATGTTCAGGGAATATTCAGGTATGAATCTTCCAGGAATATTCCCAACTGAATATTCTCTGTTGTATATTCATGAAATATACCCACCTGAATATTCTGTGCGGTATATTCATGAAATATAACCAACTGAATATTCTGTGCGGTATATTCATGAAATATTCTCAACTGAATATTCTGTGGTGTATATTCATGAAATATTCCATGAATATTCCTATGTTTCTCAACACATAAATAACATTTATTTCAGAGATGTGAGTATCGAACATCAATTAGATGTAAGGGGATTTTGAAACAAAAAGTGTTTATGATCCGATTTCGAACAATGCTCTCACAAGAACTTGTTATGTATGACATTATTCAATTCGATTACTGGCCTAGTGGTCAAGGCGTTGCTCTGATAGTCTTGAGGTCACGAGTTCGATCCCTACTTGGGTCACTTTTTTTAATTTTAGAATATGTTTATTGGAATATTCCAGGAACATTCAACATAGAATATTCTTTTGGGTATATTCTATGATTATCTGAGGAATTCCCATTCGCATATTTAGAGAATATTCCACAGATATTCCGGAATATTCCAGATTATTTCTAGAATATTCCAATATTCCAAAAGGAATATGATAGGGAGATTCATGGAATATCTGGTGCTGTCTGGGATCTTTCTGAGTGCATGCCACCCATTTGTAATGAGTTAAAACCAAATCGAAGAAATCAAGTAGTAACAAGGTAGCAAGGGCGTAGTTTAGGGTACTTAAATGACACCTCTTACCAGAAAATCTATAGGTATTGTAGGAAGGCTTCTCGACTTCTAGAACAAATTAGTGATAGGTACTCGAACATTCTGATTCATAGAAGTCAAAAATTGTTAAAAGTGGAATTCAAATCGAACCCAAAATATGGCGGTGGCTAGAGACCTAGAGCCTTGACCATACCGGTAGAAGAATTATTCAGTGAAGGCACGGTTGGCAACTTTGCGAGGGTTTTTTAATTTGAGCGCATGCCCTAGCTAGAGTAACGAGAAAACGAGCAGTCTGAAGACGATCTTATCAAAAAGGAAAAAGAGGCGTTTCCAATCGTTCTCTACCGCCAAACGTCGTGCCTACTCGCGTCTACTAAAAATGCTTCTCGGCATGTACGAAACAACTGAAACAAGAGACAGTCGTTGTCATAGCAGCTGGCTACGTACTCCATAGTTTGTTGTGGTGACAACATAACGTGGCAAGCGCGACTCATGTCATTTGATTTGACTTATTGAATATTTGTTATTATATACCGGTTTATCATCGTGGAATGTGAGAAATAGCAATCAAGATGCCAAGTTACCTGATTGGAGGCATTGAAGGGTAAATATTTCACTCATTAAAATTGATGTTTTGTTTTGTAATAGGACATAGGACCAACAGGTTGTCGAATAATGTTCAATGGCCTTTCGAATTATTTTTTTCTATGCATTATGCATTAGTTTCAGACTATTACCTACCTACATACCGCTATACATATCTACGTCCCATTAGTTCATGATAATAGGTACCTATTTACATTTAAGCAGTAGGCATTCAAGATTAAAATCTATTATTTGCTACATGATTGTAATTGGTCCATTTGTTTCTCGAAGGATCAAAGCAGCTATAATTTATCTGAATATAAAATTCTTCTATGAATTCAGAGCACAATCATAATATGCAGTTCTATGATGGCTTTTCAATTTAATATTATAACATATTGAGGTATACCTATGTCACCATATTTCCCACCGTTAAAAGGGTCATCAATAATCGGCATGGATCCTGAATTGGTAAAGGAAGTTGTCACTTAGTCAGTTAGCCTCAAAATAAAGTGGTCACGATCTTTTGTAGGGTTTAACATCAACTAGATTGTTGATTAGTAAATTATGCTGGTCCATTGGCTCGCTTCTAAAGAAAGAGCTCGAGAAAGAGAGCCGATAGGGTAATCAACGGTAATGTCTTCTGAACAACTCCATTCGCTCCAGATGCTTTTTCATGTTTCGATTTCAGAAAAATCCATAAACAACGGAAGAACATCATCCTAGAACTATGAAGACTTTGAGGCGTCTTTAATATTGGTCGCCATCGAACACCTAATCAAGTAATTCTTCAAAAAAATAATAAATGTTTCCTGAACCTCCTATCAAAACGGTTAAATCATCATACTTTCAAAATATCAAGACTATCCACTAGAGTTATACTCAATGTTATTATGTGAAAATGGTGTTTTCAGAATCATAATAAATAACTACCTATTATAATTGATACCATAATCATCATTATGTAGTAATAAGGCAAATCGCCTACTCAAGACGAGTTATCAACAGAAATTATCTTCTGTCAAACTACCAATTTATGTTATAAAGTTTGAGGTAACAAAAGTATAAGTGGTCTGAAAATTAGTTCTGATTAAGAGTGCGTTCAATGTCTCTCCAAAACTTTTAATATGATCAGGAAGAGCTAGGAAGATAACTCAGGTATCTGGAAGACTTTGCTTAAGGAGACTTATTTATGGAAATCAAATTATGAATATTATTTGTATCCAGTTTTTCCACAACCTTTGAAACATGTCATTCCTCGCAATACAGATGAAGAGATAATAGCTATGTTCTCAGATACCAAAGAAACTCAAGGCATAGATTCAAGGGTAAACTAAGTCTTACACATGACACACGTGTGACTTCGTATTGTATATTTGTCACCTCAAGAAGTGTTTCCTTGTATTCATGAGATCCAGCAAAAAACAGATCGTAAACATGTATAATTGGAAGTCGAGAAAGATATCAGATAAGATTAGGAAATACGACATCAGTGAATTCCGAGGTGAAATTATTCTTATATTTGATTTTCTGAAGGAGACATCGAAAAAACATCTATCAATTTGTACGTCAGCCCAGACATCACAAGGTGATTGTGAATGTGTGTGCTGAATGTTCTGAGAATACGTCAAGGTCCTCAGGACTTTTCTCCGAATATACTGGAAACGTCCTCAACATATTCGTAAATTATCTTCGGAATGTTCCCAAGAGAGCACTTCTCCACTATATTCCGAGTATCACCTTAGCATTTTCTGAAGAGTAAGATATGTTTCATGAATGTCATTTCTCCTGCCACTCCTAAATATTCCAATGTCTTCTATTATTTCCGAAATGAACTCAAGTGGAAATCGTTAAAAGTTTTCTGCTGAAATCATCAGTATTTCACAATTACTGCAATGACTATAGTTTGAGTACCTATACCTATAACAAATCCATATCTTCTCATCGTAATACCTTTGCTAATACTGTATGCACATAGTCGATCTGTTGAGATATTACTCAATCATTGAAACTTAATACTTTGTATTTCATCAGATTGATAACTATAATGATGAACAAATCCCACTAAGTAACGAGCTAAATTATTCATACCTATGTTTTCTGAATATAGGATTATCGATAAATCTTATACTTGATATTTTCATCACCCTGATAGGTTGGAGATAACTCATATCACTTATCAGATGGCAATTCTAATTCCTTATTTCGGCGACGTTTTATTGAACAAAATTCACCTGTTGATGACCTTATTAACTCAATATTATTGAATCTGTAAAAAACCTCACATACGATATGATTTCCACATGATTCTTGAAAGCACGTCATGTTTCACTAACTAAGTATAAAGCTCTTTCAAGGAAAATACTCGTACACATTGACTTACCGCTTGCCTTACTTGTATATATTTTTATACGAACTTTAAATATTTGAATAATACCTGCTCGCAGCCTAGCTAATCCTACATTTCGGAAAGTTTGCAAAAAGTCTAGGGAAATTCGACGAATACTTTCCAAATCCTTAAAGGTTCGTCAGTATATATAGAAGAAAATGTTGTGGTTCTTGAGGTATTTTCCATTTATACTATGGATTTCCTCCATTTAAGGTACGAGTCGATTAAACCGAGAAATTAACCCACCACCAAAGAGTAGCCAAAAGTTTAGGAAACATTTTCGTCATAACTACTTGTTTGATTTGAACACTTTTTGTGTTGACAGGCAACACAGCACATGATAACTGCAAACAGGTTTTCACTAGACACGTGGCTGAGCGCACATGGAAAGGCAGCTTTTCGCAAACTGCTTCTTATATTGATGAAATTACACTTTTGGATTCACTCCATTATCTTTCCTATTTCTCCAGAAACACAATTTTAAAGCATAACATTACAGGATTTCCCTTTTCGTGGAAACCAGAACATGAAAAAAATTTGTAAATAAGCACGAGAGTAGCAGACAATGATCTGAGAAGTCATTTCTTCGACTGGTCGCATGGAACTTGTGATCGCAAATGGAAGCATTACAGCTGATAGAAACATATCTGTGATTTTCGAACCACATAATATAGTGTAAGGCTTTTTGTTGATCTTGTTGATTTGAAGATATTGCCAAGTCTCACGTCGCCCGAGTTGTGAGAAAGTATCTAGAGGAAGTCTGTATCGCTACCATGGCATAGCCAGCTCAGAGCCCTGATTGAAATCTCATTGGGAATATCTGGGACATTATTGGGTCAAGATAACAACAGGAACGGAACTTGAATACTATAGAAAACGCAGGGCAGAGACTGATGATTCAAAGGGAAGACGTGGACTTACATGACATTAGGTCTCTTATTTTGGGTATAGGCTGTCTTTGCTAAGAAATTTTTCGTGCCTGCGGCGGAAATACTCGGTACTGACCCTTCCTTCAAATTCTTGTGACTTCGCATTCTGGTTCGTTTTTTCGTTATTCAATTTGGATATCAATTTTCCATTAAATCATGTTACGCTATGAAATGGTGTTTCCATCGAGTTATAGAAAAGATAATCGAGTGAGTCCAAAAAAGAAATGTTGAAAAAAGATAATTGCAATTCCAACTCGATAGTGCAAGAGAACACGCTTTAGTTGCTACACTCGGTATGTCTAAAACAGAAGTGTTTATGCGAATACAGTTTGCACGCCCATGTTCATGCAGAACAAATAATGTCCAAATCGGACAATTACTTTTGACGAAAATGTTTCTTAAACTTTTGGCTACGCTTTGGTTGTGCGTTGATTTCTTGGAGAAGGGTATATCAAATATCCCACAACAATATGATGTCTTCAATCATAAATATCGACTTTTGTTGAAGACACAATCGATTTAATGGGATCAAATGCATAGCCAATGCAAGAATATTCCGGTCCGGCTGATGAATTGGTCATTATAAAGCTGAAAAGAAAAGATTTTTCACAAGATATCAACCAGAAATAACTCCGAAAATATTCAACCACAGAATATTCTCAACGTTTTAAATAAAAGAATACCATACACATTGCACATATTGATCTCTCGCTCATGTTTCTTCAAGAACGTTTTTTTTAATAAACACGAAAGATTCAAACTATGGACGGAATATATTTTATAGGACTAGTCCATTAGCTTTACTAATAATTGAGATTCGTTCAATTGCTTCTTCAGGGGTGCCACCCACTCTCATGCCATCATAATGAATTCAGAGGGAATCATTGTTGGAGATGCGAAGGGTGCAGGAACAAATCATCAACTATTGGGAATGGAACGATGTTGGGAAAGGATAGCTGACCTCATTAACCAGTCTAAAAGCAAAGCTGGGATACCTCTCACTACACCATTACATGGTTTGGTAGGTAATTTGATTCGGCAATTCTTGTCGTTTATATCATATAAATTGTAATTTATTGTGCAAGTTTCATGAGATATTATACAAGCTGATTAGTTAGTTTTTCTGTTTTTGTTTGTTGTCATGTCATACGGCATATCATAGTAACAACGATTATACATATTATGGAATGTTTTCAATTATCTGCGGCCGGCTCTGTACGATGTAGGGACTGCGAAAACTCGTCAACCAACTTTTCCGAGCTGATCACGTGATATGCGCAAGTTCAATTTAGCGTGATACTGATATGAAGCATTGTTCTCCACATTTCGCAAACGGAAAGAGCGCCAAAATTCAGGAGGTGTCGAGCTGGTTCATCATACAGAGTGATCACAAATTGATTCTGATTTAGCAAAACATTTTTTTTTATATATAATGGGGAACCTAACACTGGCCAGTAGGATAATATAAAATAGAACAGTTTGTTTTCAGGGTCTGAGTTTGAGCGGGTGCGAACAAGAAAAAAGTAACCAAGAGCTAGCCAGAGGCCTTCAGCAGAGATACCCAAACCTCTCTGAGAAGGTCATCGTGGCCAGTGACACCGAGGGCTCAGTGGCTGCCACTTCCAACAAGGGGGGAGTCACGTGCATAGCCGGTACCGGGTCGAACACCCTGTTGATTAACCCCGACGGCACCAAGGTGCAGTGCGGAGGTTGGGGGAACCTACTAGGGGATGAAGGGAGTGGTAAGTAGTGGAGCATTGGAATGAAATTAGTACACGACAGAGTTGCCGTTTTAAGTACGATTTTCTAGTACATTTCATACACTTTTAGTACGTTCACAATTGACAATAATCTAGTACAAAAACAAAAGTTTTATAGCCCAAGCTATTATTGCCTACATAGCAATTATTAGGATAAACAATTAATAAATGGGTGCGTTTTTCATTCCAACATTATGTGATGCGGAGGAATCGAAGAAACTATTGGAATGTTGATGAAAATCCATCAAACTGTTGTGATAGAATGCGCACTTTCGAATCGCTTTGTGAGAATCTAGCGAGTTGGAGGAGACTGACATGACAATTGACATGGTCAATATGGTATAGTTGATCTCAATCTTTGATCTATAATCTGTTCTCTTTCATTTCATAATATACTTCTTAGTTTCTTTTATTATATATTTTCTTATTTTCGACTTACTGTTTCATGACCTCCGTTTTTCAGAGGCGTTTTATGTGTTGAATATTATTATTTGAAATTATCATTAATTATTATAAAGTTTTCCATCAAAGGTTTGATTCGTGCAAGTTTCATTTTTCCAATTTAGTACAATTTACTCGAATTTAGTACAACTTCGGAATGACTTCTAGTACAAATTGAAATTCTGAAACGGCAACACTGCTACACGATGAAACGGAAACTATTCTTTGATACTCATGGAGGAAGTATAGTCTTCAAATCTCTAGTGGATGTCACTATTATTCTTATTCTCCGTATAGAAACGAGTAATTCGGGGTACATAATCATAGCTCACGAGAGGGGTAAAATTAATGATTTATAATTGGTTGATAGAGTAATGATATTTCATTGATATCATTTGAGGGCACTTGAGAAAATCCGGAATATTCGTAACTCGGTTGGTAATAGAAATAAACAGAATAGGGGTTTTTATATGAAAAATATTTTATTTACAACCATATAGGTAATATATCGAAGACTGGAACCTTTGGCATGATAATACACTACACTGTTTTACCACTAACCAAACCGATTTTTTAACGCCTCGACACGAGTTTCGCTAACTATGTTAGCATCTTCAGGAGAAGATTAAAGTTTTAATGATATATCATTATTAATTCTCGTATAAATTGCATGAAATTTTGGAACGCTGAATTGATTTTACAAAATAAGTAATAAATGAACATATTTATAGGTACTAATGATATGTATTGAACCAAAAAAGGACAATATTTCATCTGATTAAGATCAAATTCAATTTTTTATATACCTCGGTTATAACAGTTTGCTTCTTATACGTTTAAATTTTTTATTTATGTCTATTGTTGTTAATTTTTACTATTCATTCGTTTTTTATGTCCTCAAATCTTATAAAAACCTATCTAACTGTATTGGATGATATTTGTGAGTATTTTTGAATTAACAATTAGGAATATTATGATTATTTTAGTATGAGAATGTTCGTTTTGTTTGTTCCTATTTTATTGGACATATGTTACTTTTCTGTTTACAAAAGTACATAATATTTCGACGTCATAGGTTTATTTCCTTATTGTTTCTTGGAATACAGCATAAGATCATTAACAGGTATATTGAAATCTACTGAATTTTTGACACGGTATTTACTGATGGAACAAAATTGAACTGGAAATCCTTGTCCGCGTGGAGAGTGACTTTTGACACAACTGTCAGTTGCTATTGTCAAATCAATTGTCCATGAAATCCGATAGATTGCATGTGTGTATAGGACCCTGACGTGAATATAAGTGTTTGAGGTCGACGAGAAAATATGTAATATGGACCTCGGCGAAAAACTGTCTATTGCCTCACCTGATTGCTAGCCTCGGCTATCAATTTGCAGACTCAACTATAATAGACAATGTTTCGTCCTTGGTACATAAATAACTATTTTCTCCAAACGGTATTGATAGGGGCTTGTCTATGACACTTAACAGGCAGCAAAGGTGTACTTTATCTGCCTTGGCAGAAAAAGTTTGTAGTTATGCTACGTTACAAGTAATTTGAAGGAAATTGGTATTCAAGATTGACACTGACATTGGGTGAACACAAAATCATGCAGTTTTCAATAAAAAAATTACGCAAAATTGGTTTTATAACATTTGCATGGAGAACATGAATTTCTTGTCTCGCTTCGCTCGGATATAAACAATATCAGCCGCGGCAGTGAATGTACTACTTTGCTGCCTAGTAATACAAATAATCATCCATTGACATCAAAATTCGAATAGGTGTGTATTATGGAGTTGGCACCTGCTGAATTCGATAACTGTTGTGAGATAAGCCCTTTATCGAATCGGGAATCAGCAAATCATTTTTTACGTTAAACTGATAAGAATCAAATGGATTAACTAGTCATAATACAATAGTTTCTTGTTTGTTTCCAAAGTCGATATTATTCAATCGATTCCAGTAATTTTATTCACATTGTATACAAATTGTAGTCTCGAGTACTTTTTATCTTGATGAACAAATTTTTTCCTCAAAAGTAATTTCACTTGAGCCACAGGATATTGAATTAAATCTGTTATGCATCGAAAAATGATTCATCATTATCTAATTCTGAGAAAATGTTCCCTCTATATTCTATTACATGAGAGATTAATAATTGAGTAATCGCAGAATATATCCCACAATCATATATTGTGATATAAACAGTTCAATGTGTATATAATAATATCGACACATCAATCAACATTTTTGACATAGCTGAGAACCACTTCAATCAGTTCAACCTGCATGCAGTCAATCAATCAATCAATCAATCAAATATAAAATACAATTCGGAATATCTATGGCTAATAGTTGCAGTTATTCAACCTTCAGAAAGTACAACATTCAGTTAGAAACAATTTGAAATTGCATTCTGATATACGGTCACACTTTGACAAAAAATTCCCAAACAAAAAATACGTTTCTTTACTAGCGTGCGGAAAAGTCCTCAATTCAGTGTTGGAAAGAGTCACTCTCCTGCATCACTGCAGAAAAGTGAATTCGTTTAATTTCTGAGAAGTATTCTGACATTAGAATATGTTTTTCGCTATCAGAGAAAATGAAATAAAAAAGCGTCGTTAGGCTATCTGCAAAAGAATCACTTGGGTTATCTACTATTTGCGAAATCTCTCTTCTTTCCAGCTTGGAAAATATCCCACAGAGCCGTGAAGTACTGCTTCGATGACCTGGACAACTTCGAGAAACCCCCATATCCCTCCGAGCGAGTATGGGCCCTAGTCAAGTCCCATTTCCACATCTCTACCCAGGCAGACATCCTCGCCTCCTTCTATCAAAACTTCGACAAAGCCCACATAGCGCACTTAGCCAAAGGTTTGTCCGAACTAGCCAAAGAAGGAGACGCCTTAGCCAAAGAGATTTTCAGAGAAGCAGGCTCTGACTTGGCCAGAGGCATTTCAGCTGTGGCCTCTAAGGCTGCCAACGAGTTGATCCAGCAGGAAGGAGGACTTCATGTTCTGTGCGTGGGTTCGGTTTGGCTGAGCTGGGAGCTTCTGAGGCCAGGGTTCATCAGTTGGCTCAGGGATAACACGGATATCCAGCAGCTGTCTCTCATGAGACTGGAAACTGAAATGGGGGTGGGAGCTACTTATTTGGCTTCGGATAGGTTGGGTTTGCCCTTGGAGAGAGACTATTCCAAGAATTATAGGGTATTCTTCAAGTATCAGAGGGGAGCCTGTAGGGCCAATGGAACATCCTGATGAGGGTGTTGCTATATGTAAATAATCATCATTTTTGTTTCGTTCATTGTAATTGCACAGTGATGTACCTACCTACCTGAATTGCCCATATAGAGATTAATGAAATATGCACTGTCTTGCTTCCATGAATGTTGTTATACATCACATCAGAGATTCCTTCAATGTGTTAGCTCCATTCCAGTGAGAAATATTATCTTATTACGTGTTCTATTTTTATAGAAATAAAGCGATTGTTTTTACTGTTGAATTGAATTTCTCTCCACTACCATCCAATTTTAGAGATGTTCGTATATGTTCTATAAGAAAAGTACCTAGCATTGAAGACATTTTCACAGTTGAATTTGGTTTGATAGTGACTTTGTGATTTCAAAAAACCATTCTCGCCTCCTTCTACCAAAACTTCGACAACGCCCACATAGCGCACTTAGCCAAAGGCTTGTCCGAACTAGCAAAAGAAGGAGACGCCTTGGCCAAAGAGATTTTCAGGGAAGCAGGCTCTGACTTGGCCAGAGGCATTTAGCTGTGGCCTCTAAGGCTGCCAAAGAGTTGATCCAGCAGAAAGGAAGACTTCATGTTCTGTCGTACGTGGGTTCGGTTTGGCTGAGCTGGGAGCTCCTGAGACCAGGGTTCAGCAGTTGGCTCAGGGATAGCACAAATGTCCAGCAGCTGTCTCTCATGAGACTAGAAACTGAAATGGGGGTGGGAGCTGCCTATTTGGCTTCGGATAGATTGGGTTTGCCCTTGGAGAGAGATTATTCCAAGAATTATAGGGTGTTCTATAGGTATCAGAGAGGAGCCTGTAGTGCCAATGGAACATCCTGATGAGGGTGTTAATTGCTATATTTTTTGTGTAATTGCACAGAAATGTCTTATGAGGAAAACACCTATATAGAGATTGATGAAATATGTACTGTCTTGCTTTCATGATTGCTCATGTTATACATCACATCAGAGAGCTCTTCAATTTGTTAGTTTCACACCAGTGAGAAATACTATCTACTAAGTGTTCTATTTTTATAGGAATAAAGCGATTGTTTTTACTGTAAATGATCAATTTTTCTCCACTACCATCCAATTTCACCAAACGAATTCGAGATTTGGGTATGTTCTATAAGGAATATACCTAACTTTGAACACATTTCCACAGTTGAATAGATTTGTTTATACAACACATTCCTTATAGGTAAATTTCAAATTCATACCTTCAGATTGAGGTATCGAAATACCAGCGTGTATATTGCATTTGTTGTGGAATTTTGTGGTGACTCAAAAACATGAAATGAATAACTCAGTGATAATTCATATTATATATTTTGTTCATAGGAGGTAAATTGTTATACCATTATTATTGTCGATGTATAGGCTTTGACATTATTCAATGAAAAATAGATTCATATATACACTGTGTGTCCAAGGAAGTCTTTCATGGGGATCGTTTTTATTTTTTTCTGACGTTATTTAAAGAGATACTTTCTCACTTTATCACTTTTTGAGCTCTATACAAAACAGTGTTGGGGGATTTTCCGTACGATGTTTCATTCAGGAGAAACCATCATCAACTAGACCCTATGATAGACATCGTTGTCTTGGACACACAGTATAACATAAATAAATGGTCTATTTCAATGTTGATATTGAAAAAATTCTTAACACGTTCAAAAAATAATGTTCACTTCATTATTTGTGGTTTCTTTAACATGGGTGGATATTCACATACATACATATACATACACATATTTTTGGAATTTAAATAATACTGATACATTTCGGTACTCACCCATAATTTTCCATCTTCATGTAAATCAATGAATATGTATTTTTTATTATCATTAATAATTTCCCTTTCTCACTCATTACACATTTGTGAAGAAAAATCATAATCAAAGCGACTGATCAGACTTTTCAAGACGAAATTCTAAAATCACGTTTTTATATGGGGTTTATTTTGAGGAGACAAGTAGCCTACTGTTTTTTCGTCCTAAATTAACCTAAAATTTATTTTTAAGGTTATTTAATGCACTCCACTGATGATAGCTACTGGCAGTTTCGATAGTAGTAAGGCATCCTTTTTCACTTCAGTGTTTTTTTGTTAAAATTTTGATCTTTCCCAATGGATATGTCATTCTGATCATGCTAATTCTTTTTCCGAATATAATTTCAAAATATATCTGATCGCAATCAACGTCCACAAAGCTTCCAATGAAATATTTTGGGACGTTACTGATACGTGATGAACTTAATCGCTGTGAAAAAACTTCATGACCTAACCTCACCTTACCTGACCTATAAAGTATTTATTAACAAAATTGTTGTTTATGCTACAAGTTTTGAAAGTGGGGTCGCTCCACTCTCTGATGGAATAATAACATATTTTTGACAAATTCTTCATTATTTTCTGGACAATTGTTACTAGTAGTAGGAGAAATGAAACAGTAAAAACTGGATTGTCACTTGATACTGTCCGTAGGTTGATGAGGAGGTGGTATAAGTATTCATTTTTTGCAGATTCTTTGGAATTTTCTCCTCGTTTCTATGAAGTAAAATATGAAATATACGTGTAGGTAGTGAAGACAAATCAGATATTGTTAATATATTTCTATATTCCTCTTCTCCAAACCTTTTTCGAAACAGAGTGTCACTGGCAAGAAAAGCATATTTCAATTTTAGGCTCTCTGATAGGAAAATGTTTAAACGCAGTGACATTTTGGGGCAAATCTTCTTGTCCTCAATACACGTATATGGAAATTATACTCATATTTTCATTTTATAGAAACGGGAAGATAAAATCCCATCAAAAAATCTGCAATAATGATTTTTCACTCAATAGCTTGTTTTTGAGAGGACAACCAAAACGTACCTTTGAGCCGAACATAGGTTTGATGCATGTTTGACAGATGAACGACCGTAGAGGTGAAAAAAATCTCATCTTTCTTCCACAATTTCTACTGCGTTTGAGTGGAATTTTTTGACATCAGGTCATGCGAACATCAGTTCCGGAAAATCACCCATATTTTATTAAAAATGCAGAATAACCAACAGTTTTGAATGAAAAAGTAACACAACTATATGGAACAAAGGAAATGTTCAACTATTCAACCTCAACAAACCATCAAGGTGATATTCATTAAACCTCCACAATTGTCAAAAGTACACCAACCCAATTGATATTAGAGTGACTGGATGCAATTTGATAAGAGTTCGGACACAGCCAAACTTCTGCCATTTTCTATTTTCTATTTCACAATGGTTTGAATGTTTTTTTTCGATAGTTAGTTTTGTAAATCAATGGAACAACGGATCTTTTAGATTTTCTGTTTGAAAATGGGCCCAAAAGATAATTTCATTCCAATCTGCTATTATAAGAAGTGAATTTGACCTCTCAAAATCTGCCTTCTTCTAATTAATTTTCTATCCAGGCCCTTTCATACATTTCTTCCATAAGGAAATAATGGTTAAGATTTCCCTTGGAGAATTGAATAAATTAAATCGCCATTCCCTCCAGAATTCCCGCAATTCATTACACATTTTCATTTATGCTTTTTCCTCAGAAGTTGAAATTATATTCCAATTCTGGAATTGTCGAATTCAAACAATTTTGAATGAAAAAGCGCGTAACGACTATAATGGTGGTGACACAATGCAAGGTGTGTAACCAAATAAATCTGAACATGAACAAAAACACTAAAAGTTGTCCTTCCTGTGTCCGAACTCTTATCTAATACCATCCAGTGACTGCTCTGATTGATATGATCTAACCAGAAACCTACAGCTTCACAGCCTTCGCTTTTCCGACCACCACAAAGATCTTCTGCAGGAACATCGTGGCGTCATTGGAGCCCTTCTGGAACCACTGAGGCTTCGGCCAGAACACGAACACGTAGTAAACGGGCACCGAAGATAGGATCATCAGCACCCCCATGCCGGTCTCGTAAGGGGTGGCTGCCATCGGCACTGCCGTCACGAAGATGGTGCAGAGGAGGTAGAGAACGGGCCATACTAGGTGGACTCTGATTGGTCGCGGCAGGTCCGGCTGCTTCCATCTCAGCCAGGGCAGGCAAAGAACTGCTACTCCGATACTCAACTAGATAAATTACGAGTACCTATTTAGTCAACCTCCTTGCCGAATTTTGTATCAAAAGTCCAAACCAAAGAAACACTTATACCGGCAGGTAGTGACAGATTTTTGGGCGTGAGTTGATCCAGTATGCCTTGTGAAGGGTATCAATATCTATATATTTTGATTTTTCCACATATTGAGTGTTTCGATACGTTATTCTTTCCGACAGCCAAGCAGCCATCCAAGCGTTGAGCTCCTTCATCATCAACTCAACTGGTTTGGAAATGCCTAGACTAACTCAACAATCTAGGCAGGAACAATACGGTAATCCTCTTCTGGGTGCCGGGACACATCGGAGTGAAGGGAAATGAGCAAGAAGATATTCTGGCACGAAAAGGAGCATCAACGCAACTGATCGAACCAGAACCATTCTGCGGCCTTGGAAATCCTTATTTCCAAGACGAACTGAATGGAGCTAAATAAGCAATAATGAGAGTAACGCACTGGCGAAGACTTCCAGGACTGCGTCAGGCCAGAGATCTCCTCACCCGAGCGAGATCGAAGACACTGATCAATCTCAGCAAAATTAGTCTCAAAGCAATAACGGGCTTCCTGACGGGGCATTTTAGACTCAAAGAACACCTAAGGAAGCTTGGCTTAGAGGAAGACAGCACCTGCAGATTTTGCGGGGAACACCCAGAAACACCTCACCACATCTTACTGATGGCGTGTTTTGCTGTACACCACAAAACATACTGGGTAAAATTAAGTCCGAAAATATGTCACTACGTGCTGGTTTAACTCAGGTCATCGGTTATCGAATGTATCTGGTTCCTAGAACTTATTTCTGAATGTTCCTCAACATTTCGATTGATTATAGACTATGATGTTTGCAGGACAATAAGTTGCTTGTGTCAATTATTAGCAGTTACTCAGCAAATATCAATATATGGAATTGATTTGAGTGATGGAGAAACAATATCGTTAAATCTTCGTTCTACCAATATTTTCCAAGTGATCAAAAATGGATGGGCCAATATTCTTCAGCTATCTCATCTTTGATGGGCCTCGTTCCATGTTTATACCGTCTCTTATTGATTACTACGGGTGATTCAAACTAGGTATAAGGTAGGAATTTCCGGAGGTTATATGCCTCGGGGAACACCTTCCTTGGCAATGAGTTCCAGATCCTCGCTGTTCGTTAGATGAACGAGTCTTTGGAAAGAGATGTTCTGCAGGTCTCCAAAGAGACCACAAAGGGGCCTCAACTCGACGGGAAAATCTCGCGGGGACTGTCAAGGGAGGAACAATTGTTGATATATTTCAGAAGATCCATGAAAATATCTATAAAATAGAGCCAGATTGTCACCTTTTCCTAAATTTGTATGTAATTTGTTTGTATCTGTGTTGTGGACGTAATGATCATCAATTATTAAACTTCAACATTAAGTGTTTGCAGTTTACAGTTCATAACCAACAGTTTTTTCAAATTTCATTAGTTTTTTGAACATCGGAGCTTCATAATAACTATTTTTGAATGCTTACCCAAGTAGCGAATCCCACGTAGTTTATCAATGCGTCAATATCAGATACTGTTAGGTACAATAGTGATAATAATGCCTAGAACAAAAATAAAGATGCAACATGTCTCATTCAACAACGCGATTCATTGATATTGTTGAAGAAAAAATTTCATTCTATGACATAAAAGGTATTCATTATAGGAGAGGCGAAATTGAAAATAGGTATCTTGAATTGCTCGTGTTTTATGATTTCGTAAAAACTGAAAATGTGGAGTGCCTGGTGCTAATAGTTGTGATTTTTTCCTCATTGTTCTTCTTTTATTTCCGAGTTTCAATGAATCGATAATTTAAATGAGAAACGAAATTGAATTCGTTTCAATATAATAGCAACTATAGTACCTACTCAAATACATTGTATTATGTAGGTAACTCTGGAATTCTTTGAGTCTCTATTCTTAAATTCATAAGTGAGTCACTTAACAAATCCCAACATTTTCTGTGTTTCTCGTACAGTTTTCACTATATGTTTTTCAAATGGTGAGGATGGTTGAAAGGTCACTCCCAGGTCGACACTTTTGCAGCATCTTACCAGTTCTTGATTATTAATAAAATAACTGAACTGTTGGACATTTTTCGACAGAGATATAATGATAAAGATGGAAAGCCCTAATTTCGAGTGAACATTTGTATCGATCAATTATTCATTTGATTCAAACATTGATCAATATTAGCTTTCTATGTACTTATAGGGTGAGTTTTTATCAGTTGTTATTCATTGATGTCAAGAATAAATTTGTTGAAAACCCTTTGAAGAATTATTTATCTTTATATCATTATCACTTTTGAAGTTCATTCTCTAATGGGTGTAGAACACAACTTAGGCAACTCCGCCTACAGTTTGTGACAAGATCATTGATGAACAATAGGAATAGAAGTGGGCCCAAGTTAGAACCAACACCTACTCACCATCACTAGCACAGACGGTGTCGGAGTCATCCTCCTAGCTTGTATCATCGTCAACAGCTCAGGCATCTGCCCGTGACAGGCTCCAGCATAAAACAGCCTTGAGGAGGTCAGAAGGATCCCGTTGACGGCCCCGAAGGTCGAAAGGGCCACGAAAACGGGAATGACCCAGGCCATAGGGCCAAATAGTTTGTTAGCGAAAGTGACGGCGACAGCTTTGGAACCGAGGATCTCTACAGGGGACATGGTGGTGTAGAAGGCTATGTTGGTGAGGACGTACACGGCTGTCACTAGGGTGCAGGATATCGCTATGGCTAGGGGTAGATTCCTGAAAAGGGGTGGAATGCGTCAGGTGTTGTTTGATGGATGATTGGGAGGTGTGCTTTACCTGACTGGGTCCTTCAGCTCCTCTATGATGAAGTTCAGATAGTTCCTGTGCAAATAGTTGGTGATTATCAATAGGTTATTGCATCGCTCAGTTCAAAGTCGATTTGGGTTGGTTGGGATAATCTGCGTACCTTCTGATAATTCTCATAGTTCTCAATAACTTCATTAATATATTGTCACGAGTAGAACATACGGTATATCAGTAATTTTGAACCATGAGTATTTCATAAACATCAAGTTAATCAAATCATCCGTTGACATTGAACTATGAATACTGATGACCAAGGAACTCTCATGAGAAACGTGCAAAATCTAAGAAAATGATGTATATAAATATTGGATGTGAGGGTTCCGGAGTTAGTCTGGTCTGGGGCTACTCTTAACTTGTCAAGAACTCTTCGTAATGGTCATTATAGTGTCATTTTCTTTGTTGTTTATTCATATTCGTCGTTGCTACCAATAATGTTTCATGCTTCAATAAATATTGTTATGTTTGAATATAGTATCGTACTTTCAGCTACCCCTAAACTATTAGTGCCTATTTGAATATTACCTCTCGCAAACAATTAAGCCAAGCATTACCCCTTATAAATCGATATGGATGGACTAACAATCTATTTTATCATGGCAATATACAAGATAGCCATGAGCTTGACATACATTTTTGTTACTGAAATGATCGTCAGTGTTCTAGTTGTCAGATATTTCGATACCTCATGAAATTTAAAAGTGGGATGTGAACAAAATTTCAACATTCAAACTGGTCATCCCAGTATGATTCATTTCTTCACAGGACACTTCAAAATCACGTACGCAAATATTGAAATATCTGCCACATTTAATTATAAATCTCAAGATTGAATGGAAATATTCATCACTTGTTAACTGAGCATTTGTTTATTCATTTATTTCAAATACATATTTTGTCATCAACTTGTCATACAGCAGTGTATCCAAAAAAATCTGAATCATAAGAAATTGAAAGGAAACATATGGAGTCCTTAGGAAAGAAAAGTTGAGAGTTGGTGACGTTACAGTTGAAATTTGAAAGAGGAGCCTATTTAGTTAGTCAGCCTGTATATCTCAGAAACTCCTTAAAAATCGAGAGTAGAACTACGTATATCTTTTCCAATATTCAATTGTCCTTCCCGAAAGAATGTTTTATAGAACATCTCCTCTAGACAATTCTCCCGTCTTCCAATTCAATTTTGTTTGATTTCTCTTTGATAGGGAACTGGTGCGGAAATTTCACTCACCATCCATTGTAGGCGAACAGCCCTGAATAAAATGACAATGCCAGAGATGTGACGTCACTCTCAGTATTCAGGAATGTGAAATGTTCTGTGTGACCTAGAAAAATAGAGAAATACTCATAACAATTTTTTAATTAAATATTTATCGCCTCAATCCCCGTTATTTCGAGGGTTCTTTGGACGGTCTTTTATATGAAGAGGCTCACTGAGAAACCACAATATTCACCTTTATAAAGTTGATATCCTCCAGCAGCTATAATGACGAACAATGCTAAAAGCTTGGCGTATGTGAAGATATCTTGTACTGCTGTTGCCCATTTCACATCGTAACAGTTGACAAACGACAGAACACCTGCAAAAAACACCTAGTATATAAATGATGAAGTTTTTATGATGATAAACCATGCACCAGTCAATACCAGAATTGCGAATATCGAAATCTTATAAATGGAAATTGAACGTCGCTCAAGCATATAATTTTGTTTTTGCTTTCAGGGAAAATTGAAATGTCACGAAGATCCTTTGTTGTACCCAAGAACTCCAATTCTCAGGATCAAATAATATTTTATATTATGTGAGGTTTCTTTCAAATCAAGTTAGTACAATAGAAATAAGAACCGGCAAAATCTTTTGAAACCTCCAAAATACTAAAATGATGAAGTTATACATCATCCGTACCATAGATAAAGGATGTGGCTAGGAGAGAAATCATTCATGAAGCCATTACTGAAAGGATTACTATCAGCAATAACCTTTCTTGGGAAAATCACGTGAGATCAATGATTGCTGGAAGTGCATCCCAAAAACTTGGTTTTCTGTTTCAGGCCAGGAGCTATTTCACTTCCAGTTAGCTGCTTATGATCTATAAGGCACAGATCCGACCTGTCCTGCAATACTGTCCAAAATAGGGCAATTCGTCTCGTGGGTGATGCCTCGTTCACAAACTCACTCACTTCCTTGGTACACCGTAGAAAAGTTGGCGATCAGGCTCAGGAGGTGTTCCCCAAGGCATATAACCTCCAGAAATTCAAGAAGAACACCAATTCCTACCTTATTTCCCTTGGTTCTCGCAATGTTTTCTGAACAGGATATCCCTTTTCGTGGGTTCCAGATAATAAAAAAAATATAGTCAGACATTGCAGAATGTTTCATCCATTTTATTTTCTCTGCAATCATTTTGTTTTATTTTCTATGTATACATTTCATTGCCTGTGTTATAACTTCTTATTGCTGGCCGTGATGCAGAGATAGGATTTCTTCGGGAAAAATTGGGATTTATTGGATTGCTAATACCTAAGTCTGTTCCACTGTCGCTGGAGCACATAAATTGTCTTTCTCAGTTGATTTCCCTTGCGACTTATCACGAAAGGCTGAAACACAACACAATCGTCTCGAGGCCAATTATTCACTATCTTGAATGATACCAACCCACGAATATCGCCCAGAGTACTGGGTCCTATCAGTTTAGTGATCAATTTACTTGTATCATAATAAAAAGATCAATTCCAACGGATTTACAGACTCACTATTTTATCACTCACAAGGATCAAGTTGGTTTTCTTGAAATAACAAAACTTACTTGGATAGTATAAGCAAAACTTATGAAACAATTGAGTTCTAATATGATGGCACCAGAGCATAGTATCATTGTATATTACTCTAAATACAATTATAGTATACATAATATACCCCAAGGATCTATCTTGGGTCCGCTTTTATCTCCTTTGTATATATCAGATTTTAATAAATTCCTTGGTAACTGTACAGTGCAGCACTATGGTGATGACACGCGGATTTATTTTTCTTTCACGCCTTCTAGTTTACACTCAACCTCACTTTTCTTATTTCTTCACAGAGGAATCAAAGGATTGAAATAGTTTTTCACAATATTTTGAGATACGAATTGTGTTTTTTTGGGCATTCACGCATACCATCACATTGTTCTGTTATACAATGCACAAAAAATGCAGCAAGAGACGAAGGAATATGATTTTTCAGGTAATAGTGATCTCGCATAGTTGTTTTATTATGAAATTTAATCATTTTTTATTAGAATTCCTTCTGCCACTTCTACAATAAATGCTAATACTGCCATAAAAGTGAAGTTGTCGTTAGCCCAGTCCTCCCCTTTGATTGCAAAAATTTAATCATCTTGCCTTCTCCCAGAAATTTCACGATTATTTCTATCAGCTCCTATTCCAGAAGGAATTCCAATAAGAAAATACCAAAATTTCAAAATGAAAACTATATGTGAGTGACTACAGTACTATTAGATCAGAATGTCTACCTCACCTACCTGAAAAATCGGATTCCTGCGTCTCTCACTGCATTTTTGTGCATTGAATTATTAAATAGCTGAAAAACACGATTTCTATGCCAAAATAATTGTGAAAAACTATTTCAAGCGTTATAAATACAAATAAAAAAAGTGAGGTTATATTTCAATGTTTTGATGTGTTTCACCTCCAGGGTCGGTCCTCTGACAGATGTTGTACGCAATCCATAAGGATCTGCGCATTGTTCATTCCTGAATTACGTCATTTGACACTTTTGACAGGTCGTTGGAGGGCAAACATTGAATTTTGTCATATGAAACCAGAAGTAATGGAATCTTTTTCCTCGGAATCCGAGTTGGATCCCGAACGAATTTCATGATTTTGTTTGGTGAATCTGCCATTATATTACTGTGGATGTGAGCAGATAGCCCTAACCAGCAACTTCTTTTTGATTGATTGATTGATTGTCTTTATTAGCCCAAGAAACATTTCTGTTTATGATAGGGATACATCAATACATATAAGAAAAATAATGATATTCCACGAAAGGGCTTAAGGTCTCCATAATTTTGATTATGAAATCCATGTTTTTCAAACAAAAATACGTAAGTAACAAATACATTCTTTCAAAAACAGAACACGCCGCATGATACGTGCAGAATTACCATCTAATGCTCACATCAAATCCATGGAGAGATCAAAATGAACCTGGTTTGTGGCAAAAATTCGATCAGTATTCACATTCTCTTACATATGCAGCACACAGCCAGCAATATGAAGGTCACGAAAGGGCCGAAGGTCTCCATGATTTTCATCATGAAATCAATGTTTTTCAAACATAAAGCAGAACACGCCGCATGATAAGTACAAAATTACCATCTAAGTTATCCAATACATGGAGAGAACAAAATTTGGTAGGTCTTTTTCGTATGTTCTGGTTCCCACGAGAAGAGATATCCTGTAATGTTCAGAGGACATCGTGAGAACCAAGAGAAATAAGGTAGGAATTGATGTTCTTTTTAAATTTCTGGAGGTTATATGTCTCGGGGAACACTTCCCTTGGTAATGTGTTCCAGAGCCTTGCTGTTCGTTGTATGAACAGATGTTCTGCAGGTCTCCAGAGTGACCGCACGAAGAGGTGCGGTGCGACGGGTTAATCTCGCGGGGACTGCCAAGGGAGGAACAATTGTTGATATTTCAGAAGAGCATCGTCTATGAAAATATCTATAAAATAGAGCCAGATCGCCAACTTTCCTACGGTGTTCCTCAGAAGTGATTGAGTTCGTGAGCGAGGCAAAAACTCGACTAAGTACTATCAATAACCCCATCGTTCTCTTACATATGCAGCACACAGCCAGCAATCTAGCCGCATCGTCAGGCGGGTCGCACTCCGGGAAGAAGGGCTTCATGACATACTGGCTGAAGGTCAAGGCCACGATGGCCTGCGAGCACGGTCGCACGATCATGCACTCGATCCACAGCCTTATGAAGGCCACGAAAGGGCCGAAGGTCTCCATGATGTAGGCATAGTCAGCGCCGCTCTTGCGGATCATCGTGCCAAGCTCGGCGTAGCAGTAGGCTCCGACCTGGAAGAAAAAATTGGTGTTTATACAGCGAATATGATGAAATAAGGAATAAGATAAGAAATTTCAATACACGTAACTGAGATAAAATAAGAAATAAGGAGTGAAATAAGAGTTGGGCAACTTCTAACTTTTTATTTTATTTTGTTTGAAAATGGAAGTACGCATATGCAAATGACAGGTTGACAGTTGAAGTAGGTAAAAGTGGATTATTCAATTGGTCACAACGGTTTCGTGTTCCTCTGACGTGATTGGTCCATGCCTTTAACTCATTTAATATTATTTATTTGTATGAATTGTTCGTCATAATTCTTATTTCTTAAATTATTTTATTATAATCTTAATAATAATAATAAATGTTCTTTATTGGTTAAAACCAAATGGCCATCGACCGAGGTCCTTCAGCCGTTATAATCTTATTTTATGTTACTTGCTGTATAAACCCTATGTCAGAGTAGACGAATCCAATGGTCTATAGGCCTATTATCAATTACAAGGGCTGAGCCAGGTATATGGGCAGGAACTCGGGCAGGAAGGTCGGCTAATTGCTCGTACTTGCTGCTGACTCGAATATATTGTTGACAATTTCCAAAAGCCTTAAGTAAGAACTGTTGTGATTTTTTTATGTTAAGACTGTTTTCTTTGAATTCATACTTTGTTCTCTGAATTCTGTTTTTTTTTAACTCAAGTGATTCTTCTGAACATACCTTTCTCCTTCAAATTCTGATTCGATTCTCTGAATTGAGCTCTTTCCATTTGAACCTGGACTTTTTTCATCGAATTCTGATTCTATTCTTCGAATTCAGATTTTGCTCTTTAAGTTCAGACTCTCTCCTTTGAATCTAGACGTATTTCTCCGAATTCAGACTCTTTTCTATGGAATCAGACATCTTCCTTCGAATTTAGACGTTCTACCTCAGGTTGAGATTTTTTGTATCAATGCAGACTCTTCTCTTCTCCAGATTTTTTTCTGGATTCAGATTTTTACTTAAAATTCACATTCTTTCCATGAACGTAGATTTCTTTCTTTGTATTCCGACTTTTTTCTAAATTCAGATTATTCAATATGAATTCAGAATTTTTTCTTCGAATTAAGCCTTTTTTCTCCCTGAATTCACAGTGTTTCCTCTGAACCTAGACTTCTTCTTCAATTGCTGATTCTTTTTTTTGAATTCAGAATGTTTTCTGCAAACCTAGACTTCTTTCATCGAATTCAATTCTGTTTTGAATCAGACTATTTTCTATGGATTCAGACTTCTGGATTGGATTGGATATTGGATTCATACGTTTTCCGTCGAATCCAGACTCTTGTCATTATTCCTAGACCACATTCATCGAATTCAGACAATCTCTCTAAATTCAGATTCTTTTATTCGAATTGAGTATTTTTTCTCCGAACATAGCCTTCTTTCTTCAAATTCTAACTCTTTCTTTAATCCTAGACTCTTTCTCTCCGAATTCAGACTTGTTTCTGTAAATGCAGACTTCTTCTTCACCCTCTTCTTTGAATTCAGGCTTTTTTCTTCAGACTTTTCCATTTCAATTCAAACTTTTAATTCAAACTCAGGACTTCCTCCTTCGAATTCACACTTTTTACACTGAATTCACACTTTCTACACTGAATGCAGACTTTTAGATTGAATTCAGAGTTTTTTCACTGGAATCCAGACTTATATCTTTGAATCCAGACTCTTTACTATGAATGAATATATTCATCTTGTATATATGTGTATGTAAACAGGGTGTTTCAAAAACAAACGGCAGATATCGCTTGCATTTGAAAGCTACGAACACGATGTATTATGTTCGAGTTATAACTCGAATTGTAGCTAATTTCAAAATATTTGTATCAATGTCCAGTAATAACTCGAAATGAGGCTGATTTCGAGTTATGTTTCAATTTTCGGGAAATTTGTCGAATGTTCCCGAATACAGATAGAGTTATTGCTTCTCGTGCAACCCAACAGATAAAATATAAGGATTGAATGGTTCATTCATGAAGTTCATAGCAGGTGCAGTCGCACAACGTATCTGCTTGAAGCAGGGGTATTTCCGAGGATATTTCCGTTTCTATACACATGAGGAAACCCTCAAGAAACCTGCGAATTTACTATAGAGGACTAAAAAACTATGTAACCTAATCACGAGTATAATCTGTTGATTCATCAATTCATTCATGGGTAGTAGAAAATTGAAGCTGTGATTTTTCTGTGAATATGATTAAATGCGTGGAAATATAGCATTATATCAACTCAACAATTATTATAATAAGATGAATGTCATATAATTTGATCTGATTGATTTAATAGTGCCAAAAAAACTGTGAGAAGCATGATGAAATACATCAGTAAGTATTACATACAATCGTGCATAAAAATGGAGAATTGCGTATCTACATTGGTTTGGCTGTAATTAGATATTTGCCGCAAAATAGCCTTGCAAAAACATTGCATTCCTTATGTGTCACTGAATCCTTCATACTATAATCACATTAATGCATGACTATGTAGAGAAAGTAGAGCTTTTATTTCTGGAGAAAGGATTTTTTGTGAAACTTCTAAAACATCTGAAAATCGATATTTCAGCACAACAAAATTTTCATTTGATATTTATTTCAATGATCCTTCAAACTATCGATTTATTTGTCCCAATAGGATAGTTCTCTTCGTCAGTTTATTTTTTTGGATCTCGATCTCACTCAAATGACAGGAAGACAATCTCACTCACTCTAGAAAGTAGAAGTAGCTGGATATTCTTCTCAGTAGACATGAGGACATTTTTGGATTTGGTCTCTTATAAAACATGTCTTGTTAGTTGTATGAAACAGCTAGAAGGATGGAGATGATTTTATCATAGTCTGACTGCCAATGAAAAGCTGGATGTCCTCCATAAGATGAAAAGATCAGTTCATGATTGAAATCAAAGCTTAAAGAATAAATTGAGAGCTGGATATTCTTCATAGTTCGATTTTGACTAGTTTTGAAACATTTCTTGTTGATGTATGAAGGAGCTGGAAGAATGAAAATGTTTTGAATTTGACTAGTCAATTGTGAGAAGCACCTGGAAACAAGCAGATGCTTCACCTATGGACTGTAAATAAAAAACTTGAGAGTGAACAGGAGACCAATCCAAGTCTCCAAAAGAAAACAGAAGAAGCAATTTTAGGATCTGAATTTGTCTCTTTGTTTTTACGAAATACTTCGGCTACATATCCTACGAGTGAGACATGTGGACAATTTGGAAGTGACTACCTATTGATATAAAACATTTTTTGTTGATTGTAAGAAAAAGCAGGAGAAAAAGATTGAGGCCGATCCCACCAACCATAAAAAAACAGAAGAGGCATCAATTTTAAGATCTGAATCTGATGTCTATGTATATTACTATTGGAGCATTGACTCTACCAGTTCATGATTGGGATCACTGATATAAATATAAATGGTGTAGTTGAAGATTCTTCTCAGCAGACATGTGACCAGGCACACAGAAGACAATCTTAGGACCTGAATTCTTCTATCTAGAAGAACTGTGAATTAAAATGAAATACTATCGGTGTATGGAACACATATAAGTTCATGATTGGAATCAATTCTTGAAAAATATATAAACAGCGGGATACTCTTCCCAATTCGAATTTAACTAGTTTCAAAACATTTCTTGTTAATGTATGAGGCAGCTGGAAGAATGAGGATGATGAATGTCAATGAAAATCTGTATATTCCCGATAGGAAATCATGCGATGCTCGTAATTGAATGAAAAGAAAGGCTGGATATTCTTATCAGGAAACAGAAGGAAGATTTGAATTCGACTACTCAATTGTGAGAAGCAGCTTGAAACAAGGAGATGCTTTGCCCGAGAACTGTCAATAAGAAATTTGGAGGTAAACAGGAGACCAATCTAACTCACCATAAAAAACCGGAAGAAGCAATTGTAGGATCTGAATTTGCCTCTTTGTTGAGAAATAAAATACTTTTGCTGCATATTCTACTAGCAGCTCATAGAAGGATGAAGAAGCTCTGACTAACACTTTGAATGAAAAGCTGGATATTCCTCATAGGCAAAAAGAATCAACCCGATCTCACTCACCATTGAGATCACTGATCAAAATATAAATGGAGAAGCTGAATATTTTTCTCAGGGGACATGTGACCAGACAGACAGAAGGCAATTTTAGGATCTGAATTCTAATATTTAGAGAATATGTGTTTCAAAATGGAATACTATCGGTATATGGAACATATAAAAGTTCATGATTGGAATCAATTCTTGAAAAATGAATCCAGAGATGGATACTCTTACTAGTTCGAATTTGATTAGTTTCAAAACATTTCTTGTCAATGTATGAAGCAGCTGGAAGAATGAAGATGATCTGACTAGTAACCGTAAAAGAAAATCGGGATATTCCCGATAGGAAATCATGTGATGCTCGTAATAAAACACATGAAAGAGCTGGATATTCTTATCAGGAAATTTGAATTTGACTTTTCAATTGTAAGAAGCAGCTGGAAACAAGGAGATGCTTCGCCCGTGAACTGTCAATAAGAAACTTGGGGGCGAACAGAAGACCAATCTAACTCACCATAAAAAACAAAAGAAGCAATTTTAGGATCTGAATGATTTGCTGCATATTCTACTAGCAGCTCATGGAAGGATGGAGATGTTCTGACTAACAATTTGAATGAAAAGCTGGATATTCCTCATAGGTAGAAAGAATCAACCCTTTCTCACTCACCATGGAAAACACCCCCGACACCGTCCACACGATGAGCGACACATTCACGCTGCCGGTGTTCTTCAACACCCCTGAGGGTGACACGAAGATCCCTGACCCGATGATGCTGCCCACGATCACCGTGATGCCGTTGAGGAGGGACATCTTCGGCTTGAGGGCCACCTCCTCCTCCTTGGAGTTCTTCTCGTCGTCGCCGTCCATGGCCAGAGCGGATCCGTGTGGACCAGAACGCCAGAGAAACGCCAGAGAAACGCCAGAGAAACGTAGGATGAAGACCGCGGCGCGTTGGAAGAAGGTCTGGCCTGACAAGCGTCGCGGGGCGGCAGGATACCCCTAAAGCGGCTAGCGACACCGATTCCACTAAGCTTTGAGACTTCCGCATGCGCATAACGTTGACTGTTCGGGGACCGTGTATGAATATGTTTCGCATGTTTACATAAATTACTAAACAATCACTAAGTAGCAATTTTTTGAAATCAAATCACATAATTAGCATGACATATCTCTGATCACTTCAGAATATTGATAAAGGATGAAGATGCCTGCAACGCAGGTGAAATTCTTGTTAAAAACTTCAAATTTCACGTCGAACATTTCCTGATTTTAATATAATGTAATATCTTCTCAATATTAATTCATCTTTTTTCCTGTCACTGAAAAAAATTGTGTGTACGAAATCGTGGAAAGGCCACTATTGTCTATATTTTATTTTTTCTCTGAATTCAGACATACAGATTGTTCCAAAAATTCACGGAGATCACAGGCACGTATTCCTTTGATGAATGTGTGATATGATAAAGTCATTTTATCTTAACAATTGGACAGCGATATATTTGTTTTGTTATTGTTCCCACACTGGTGTATTTATGATTGAAAAGTGAGTTATGGATGTACCAGAATTAGTGCTCATCAATTCCATTACAGCGTTTAACAGTTATACAATGTATTTCAGGAGTTGCACCCTGTATATCACGGAAACAAAATATGCCTTTAGGTTTATTTCATCTGCAAGTAATACACGATAGTGATTTTTTGGAGGTTATACTTTTGGAACACCCTGATCACAAATACACATATTATGACAAGAAATCTGAATTCAGAGAAAAAACGTTCAAATTCAAAAAAATAGTCTCAATTTAGAGAAAAAAGGCTTGATTCAGAGATAAAAGTCTGGATCAGAAAAAAAAAGTCAAAATTCAAAGAGAATAGTCTGAATTCAGAGGAAAAAGTCTGAATTCAGAGAAATAATTTTGAATATAGAGAAACAAGTTGAATTCAGATAAAATTCTGAATTCTGAGATGATGTCAAATACAGAAAACAGTAGCCTTTCTACGATTTCTTACATGGAAAAAATATTATATTTTAGCTCACGGTTTTTTCTATGAGAAAACACAACCTTGAGCAAAAATCTACAACGTTTTTCCCTCGCATAATAAATAACTATTATTTATTATTCCAAATTTTTTGGGATTTTCTCTCCTCGTTTCTATAAAATAAAAATATGAATATTATTTCAATATACGTGTAGTAAGGACAAATCAGATGATTTGCCCCAAAATGTCACTGCGTTTAAAGAATTTTCCTATCAGAGAGCCTAAAAGAAAAATTCACTAGCTTGTCAGTGACAATTTGTATTGAAAAATTTTTTGGAGAAGAGAAATAAAGGTATATAGAAAAAATATCAAATTTTCACTTATCTTTGGACGTTTCGGGACCGATTCTGCTCCCGTTCTCAACATGAAGAGATTTTTTCAATTGCGAAGTCGTATAATATATATATACGACTTCGCAAAAAAAATTTGGAATAATGAATATACCACCTCCTCGATTAACCCAGACAGTATTTAACTATTTTTTATGTTTTATTTTCCTTGATCCCTGAAAAATGTACTGTGGAGGCATTTACTGTTGAGGCCGATAGTGATTGGCTATTTCAAAATCAAGCTCTTGACCGGAAATTCTCAATGTTCGGAAGTCTCAAAGCAAAGTGGAAACTGTGTCGCTAGCCGCCTGTTGAATTTACCCCGTGGGAGCGGTGCGTGCAAGATTTGGTGTGTGCACTCTCCGGTATACCGGGTGAAAACGCAATCGTTTTCCAGGGCGTCATCAATTTGATGAATTGACTCGGCCGTTATTTCATGGAAATCTATAGAAGATGTGAAAAACCTCACAAATAATATCTCCTCGAAATTCTTAATATTACGACTTGTTTCGCTAACACAGTAGATTCTTCAAGTGGAATACTCGTACATAAAAGTAAACTTACAATGACTCATCATTCCACACTTTTTGGGATTTTCTCTCTACGTTTCTATGAAGTTGTCGCTGACAAGAGAATTAATTTTTCTTTTAGGCTTTTCAATAGGAAGATTTTAAAACGAAATGACATTTTAAAGCAAACCATCTCGTTTGTCCTCACTACACGTATATTGGAATAATACTCATATTTTTATTTCATAGAAACGAGTAGAGAAAATCCAAAAAAATCTGGAATAATGAATGTACCATTTCCTCGATTAACCTACAGTCAATATATATCATCGACTTGCTCAACTTTTATATCACAACTTCATGAACTGAAGAATTGAAACTATATACCTGTGGAAAATGTAGAAAATGAAGGATGAAACAATCATTCGGACATTCGTTTTCGAAATGGCGGTGCAGAAGAATTTTTTATGGATGCAATTCTGAATAATTTTCGAAAATGATCTGTCGTCCTATTTCTCGAAATAATTTTTTCTTTTATATTTCACTTGCTATTTCAATTCACTTCGTCATGAATATTTATGAAAATCAAGAGAATCAGAAACTACACAGCTGAATCGATTGTCACATGCAGAATTTACCAAATTTTTTTAGTTATCCCTTGCAATAGATTTTCCCTTATAATCCCCCAGAGTTGATTTTTCTGAAAATCAACAAAATCTTGCAGCAACAAGTGAAATGTTCTGTGTACTAAAGTGAGAGTAATGATTTGATAACTATAATGAGTGTAACGATTTTCTTACCCATTTTCGTATAATTTTTTTTCTAGCTATGTAAGTATGTCCAATTTTCATCTTGATGATTTTGAGTAATTTCCGAAAATAATAAATTGATCTATTATTCAATTAGTTATTTTTGTATCTAGTGCGCGAAATGCTACTTTGATGATCAAGAACTGATTTTTTCAACGAGGCGCATCCGAGCTAAACAAATATTCGAGATGAACAAAGTATTTCGCGCAAGAGTTGCAGAACAACGAACGTCAAAAAATATAGTTCTGAACATTAATATAAAAAATAGTGTTGAACTGGCTTGAAAGGGCTCTCCCTTTCCTCCCTAAGTACGCTCGATGTTCCACGAACATTATAGGAATTTATTTTCATGCGGTCCAAGAGATGAAAAAAATTATTGTTATACATTCAGTAATAAAAGATTTCTTAGATGTTTGCTCGATTGAAGACCATGAAGTTAAAATATAAAAATCTCATATAGTGTACATACAATGCACGAAGTATCTACTTGGCACACAGCTTCGGACATGGTGTCATAGTAACGTGGGAAACTGGAAAACAGTGTCACACTTGTCATTTTTTGAGGTATGTAGAACAAAGTTTTTTCTCTTATTTTCTCTTGTGTCAATTTTTTCTTTGATTCACTCAATATCATGAATATTTCAGTAATCCAAGAACTGAACTGTTTATGAATTATCACCTGCAAAATCATTTGACTAATAATCTCCTTGTAACTGAATTCATGAATATTCTCATAGTTCCTCTCGACCATTTCTCAGACGTTCTCTTGTGAAAAAAATTCTTCGAATTCAAATTTACCTAATGGAAAGGACTGCAGACTAGAAATCACTCACCTTGTTTTCTTCATCTTTTGGAGATTGTGCTTTGAATCTATACTACCAATCAGAAATTCTCAATTTTTCAGAAACGTTTGCTCAGATGTTTTGGGTGTCCTAGTCAGTTACACCTTGAAATACCTATACGAATAGACCTGGCAATGGTATCCGGAAAATTTTTCAAAATTTAAGGGAACAAGACTAATTTTTTCATCTCCAACCTATTGTGAATATGCAAATCTGAAAGAGTTGAGTGCACGCACCAAACGCTTTATACATTTTCATTTTCTCAAAGGCGGTTATGTGACATTATTGTGACCAGAGAATAGAGTCGCAGCTCGCGAATTTAGGCTCTATCGGAACTACTCAAAATGCAGTAAAGGAATTTTCCAACTCTATTCAGAGATGATGTACCCTCTTTACAATCAGGTTTTCATTGAACCACAGCCGACTCTTTGAACCAATTTCCAGAGGTGTACGACGAATATACTTAAACTAAGGTTCGAATTTTTCAGTTTAATATTTTTTGAAAAATTCCGTTTCCATCGTGAATATTCTACTATGTGTATTCTCAAAGTTTATTCTACCCAAAGTGTATGATAATTGATGATTGAAACACAACCTCACTTCTTTATCTGTTTACAGAGGAATCAAAGGATTGAAATAGTTTTTCACAATATTTTGGCGTACAAATCTTGTTTTTTGCGCTATTAATTAATTCAAGCATGCCTTCTCATTGTGCTGTTGTACAATACACAAAAATGCAGCGAGAGACGAACGAATATGATGTTTCAGGTAAACAGTAATCTCACATAGTTTCCATTATGGAATTTCGTCATTTCTTATCGAAATTCCTTACTGCTAATAGATTGAAAATGTCTACAACACACACGATCATATTTCGTCAGCATGTCAGACCAGTCCTCCCGTTTGATTATATGAATTCAATCTTCTTGCATACTTTCAGAAATTTCGCGAGTATTTTTATTAGCTGCTATTGCAGAAGGAATTCCGATGAGAAATAAGAGAAATTACCAAATTTCAAAATGAAAACTATATGTGAGTGACTATAGTATGGGTACTTACTTTCAAATCATAATGTACCAACCGGATTCCTTCGTCTCTCGCTGCATTTTTTGTGCATTGTACAACAGCACAATGTGATGGCATCATGCGCGAATTAATAAATAGCCGAAAAACACGATTCGTATGCCAAAATAATTGTGAAAAACTATTTCAATCATTTGTGAACAAATAAGAAAAGTGAGGTTGTGTCTCAATGTTTCACCTCCAGGGTCGGTTATCTGCCAGTTCTTGCACGCAACCCATGGTGAGATATGAATTTAAGAAGTGTGAAATCCAAATCGAACTTCAATCGCGCCGAAAGAAAGGAGGTAGAAACCAACCATCAGGGCAAACTATGTCTGCCTTTGACACATACAGTCATATCGATATAGTACTTTTTCTTTTTTATGTCACTATCAATACGGTCAGGTTAGGTTAGATCTAGTAGGGTGTATACAGGGTGATTTAAAATTCGATGTAAATATTTCAAGGACGTATTGTTTTGTACCAAAATTAGACTTTTTTCACATAAACATGCGTATCCTAAAATGCACCTCCTCCGAGCTACAGTCTGGCTACAGCCACTGTAAGTTTTGGTTGAACAAAACAAGAGTATCTGAAATTGTGAATATAATAACGGATCAAATGCAAGTATTCCATCACTGCGCGCCTCTGAAACAGCAGTCTCTAATGCGTTCCGACATAGAATCACCTCCGTATGCAAACGTTCAACGGTTTTACCCATTGTGTTCGAAAACGATGTCGTGACGTCCCCTTTCACTGATCACGATTTTCTGGCAAACGGTTAGTTGTATAAAAAACATACGAGTCCGATTTCTTACATTTTTTAATCTTGTATTGCCCACAAAAGTCGCAATTTATCTTCCTAAACAAAAGATTTGTGCCAATAAAAGTGTGGACCTCTCACCAATTTCCCTAAAACTGGGTTCACATTATTTTTGAAGCAAGAAGGAAATGATGTGGCTAACAAGACAGGTGCATGCCTCAGAAGAATTGATCCGTTGTTTCAGTCACAATTTTCGATAATCTTGTTTTTTTACATAATTCACAGTGGCGTTAGCTCGGAGGGGGTGCATTTTACGACGTGTATTATTTTGAGTCCAACGATATGTCCTTGGATCGAATTTAGAAACATTCTATATATTTTCTGACCTTTGCTGATAATATATTTTTTTTGTATTCGTTCACATATAGGACATACACCCTTCAAGCCATTCCAGTGAAATTAAGGAAATTTAAACATTGACGTAGACATCAAGCTCCTTTCTCGCATTTTCTAGATTTTCCAGTGTGGACCTCTTCTGATCCGCCAATGACGATACATGAAATACTAAATGCGCAGCTTTCTGTTGAAATCGGATCAATATTATATGGACCTTCGGCATTCCCGCCCTTAGGTCGTAGTAAAGGAGATTTCCAGCATGTGAGTCACGTGGGTTTTCGCCAGACTGAATGACTAGATTTTGCCCTTGAATTAATTCGAGCTCAATCCCAGAAGGGTGTCTTAAAAACTATGAGGCCTTCAATGATGAGGATTTTATTCGACGGAATCAATTCTTACACACTTCCATTTAAACTTAACAATACACCTTTACAATTTCAATTAGAAATAATTCAAGACGGCGTCTTCAAGATGGTGGAATATTCTCATTTCGATGTTTGATTTGCTCTATAAATAATAGCTTGGTTGATAGGTGATAACCATTTTGTAATATCTTGTCAAACGCCTTGAAGTTCTAATCTTGAATTTTCTGAGGTCGAGAGTCAAGGATTTTCAGCAGAAATTTACGAATTCGAGAGGGGTTACCTCAAGACGGCGTATGGCGTAGATTATTTAATTTCTCGTCAGATTTCCTCTTATTGGATCAAAGTTAGGAGAAAGTTGAGATGCAATCGATGACAAATCTCACACAAAGACAAAAATTATAGAATACAAGATTTTGAAAGTCACTTCTGTGGGTGAATGCACTGATATAGTGAAAATTGTCTTTTTAATGCCATTTGAAGACACAAGTGAATGAAAAATGAGATATTTTAGTAATGAAAGTATCAAAATGTATCATATAATTTTCTTTGGTTTACGTTGTATTTTTACATGAATAGAGTTTCCTATACAAGTTGTTGTACATTTCCTCCATTATCATGAATTCTTCATGCCCACATATTCAAGATATTGCACTATACTTGAATGTCTAGTATATAGAAATAATAGCAGATCCAATATGATTTCTGATGCAATGGTTGTATTTAGTTAGGAAAATTGAGGGGAATTTAGGGGCATTTTGAATAATATAATTGTAATCACAATCTAATGTTATGCTGTTTTTCCCTTTTTCTACAGCTATAACCACGCTATAACAAGAAATTGTTCCTGTTTCACTGACTTCATTGTGTTATTATTTTATAATAAATGTTATTACTCATGAAATGCCATATTTCAAGCAATGACAGCTCTATCTAACAGAGTATAACTTAAGAGAAAATCAGATGGCTACGCTACAACCGAAAAATAAAAAATGTCGCTATTATATCAGTTACAACCGTAGAAAAAGTATATAACTGTTTCTCTCGTAAACTTCTTCTTCATTCGTGAGAAATGACTGACCCCCTGCTACGGTAGGTAGAACACTGCAGAATATGTCGAGTTTTTTTCAGTAAAAAAAGAGTTCGTAACAGCAACCGTTTCGAGATTCAAGGTGTTGAAAAATGGTTGTGAACAAAAATCTAATATTTTTCCCGTATATAATGCACTATTTTTTTCTTTGACAAAAAAATGGACGATTCAATATTGAGATCGACGTTAGAATTGAAGTTTTTATAACAGGAACGACACCTGCGCTGCATCAGGCATCTTCATCATTCTTTTGAAGTAATCTAATATCTGTCAGTCTAATTCTGTGAAATGATTTTAACCCTTCAATGCATGATTTTTTTATTTTTGCGTGAAAAAAATATATGTTTCTCCAGAGGGGATCACTAATGTGCAAAAAATAATTGAAAAATAATTCAAGTTCACTTCAAATTTGGATTGAAAAATCAAACCTCAAAAAAGTTTTCTATGTTTTAAAACTACTCGGTACGAACCGAACTTGCGCCCTAGTCGGATATGAAAACAAAATTCATTCGATGTGTCAGCTTTCAAAACATGCATGAATTCATTACGCCAGAAGTTCCTACTAAATCGTAAAATTTTGTAAAAAACATTTTTTCCTCCGATTGGCAGCAAATATTAATTTTGCTGACACATATCAATCAGCAAAGTATTACTTTTCCTGCCTAGGCAGCAAAGTGGGTACTTTGCTGCCTAGGCAGCAAAGTGGTTACTTTGCTGATTGATATGTATCAGCAAAATTAAAAATCCATAAATCGTTTATAATTTCCTTCATATTTCATCCGAGACTTCTCCGGCAACAAATTCAACTCTATATTTGTTGCCACCTCCCTTATGAATGGAGGTGTAAGTATACTTTCAGGTCGCTATCACTGTCCATTATATAATAATTTCAATATACCGATATTTTCATGAATTGTCAAACCAACAACTGCGATTTCTATCAAATTTTATTTTAATTGAATACTATACAGGAAGAATAAAGAGATTGTGGGAATTGTATTAATTCGCAAATATAATATTCTCCCATATCATTATGAACAATCGGAGAAAAAATTATATGTTCAACTCGGCAGCAAAGTAGATTGACTGCCTTAGCTGGATGAATTCAGCCACGGCAGTCAATCTACTACTTTGCTGCCTAGTTAAACAAATAACTATTTCTGTGACGGGAAAAAAGTTTGAAATGTCATCTCAATTGCCAGGTTTTTTCAACACGTTGTATCTTGAGAACGGGTGCATTACGACGTTTTTTTTTTACTGAGCAAACCCAACTTATTGTGCAGTGTTCTACCTACCCTAGCAAAGGGGTCAGGTTTTTTTGGAACACCTTGTATAACTTCAGCATTTTATATCCCTGATCTCATTAAAATTCATGACATACGTATCATTTTTCAATAATATCATTATTAAATTCACACATATTACATCTTATATAAATAAACATGTCATAAAATTTATAAAAATTTGTTTATTTTCATTGAACTTCCGCGTATATAGAAACTCGTCGCGTTGAGCTTCTAGAGTTAATAAAACGGGTGTTTCCGAAGCCGAAATCGAAACGATAAATGAAACATTCAACATTGCAAGACGAGAGAACAACAAAAATATAAGAAGTGAAAACATTTTCTTTTGAAAGATATATTGAATCTTGAAGTTACTTTTGAACTCATATCATAGAATCAGGACGACATTATGGATAATCAGATACTTTTCTTTTCTGCTTTTTTGTAATTGTAGGAGCCTATATTATTATAATATCTACTGGTGCACTTTAAAATCACCCTGTATAAGGGGCTTTGCATACCGTGAATTGATATCTGTGATCCGAACCCTATTATAATATGTACAGTGTGTCCAGTTTTCGATGCTTTTGCATGATTTCTCAGTTATCTTTGGAGATAGAACCTTGCGGTTTTCGCGGTCCTGTGCCACTTTTTTGTGAAACTCAAGATGCCCTAATCAGATTTTGCAGGACTGTTTCCGTTTATTTGATACAGGGCGATTTTGAAAATTTATATTTGAAGATACGACTCAAACTTATGATTTTTTAAATTGAACACCCTGTATTTTGTAAGCTCATTAAATTCCTTATTTTTTTCCCTTCGAAATGATATATGATGTATGAATATAACATTTTTAAAAATGTTCAAAAATCACTAAAACATTGAATTTTAATAGTAGGTTATGGGTTTTTCGAGGGATTTCCATATAAAGAAATTTACAATTGAAGGAATATTTCCTTTGATTGTTCCATGAAGGGGGAAATTACAATTTCAACACTAATTAACTTGCAATACACAAGACTCAGATACCTGATATCCACAAATATATAGTAATACAAAGTTTACAATGTAGAATAAGCACCTGATTGAATATTTACTAAAACAATTGAATTTCGAAATTATTCAGTGATTTATTCATTGAATTGTTCAAATTGATGTCCATTTTCCATCACAAACTTTCTCAATACATATTAATCATTGAAAGATGTCTTTGTAATTCCTCGAAAACTGCCTCTGTTGTTGCACAAAGTTCTTCAAGTATGTTGGGCCACTCACTGTATACTTCTAATACTTCTTAGTATTAAGAAAGTTTGTCAACTGTATGTTGGGGAAAATGGATATCAATTTGAACATGTCCATGAATGAGTTACTGAATAATTCCGGAATTCAATTATTTCAGTAAATATTTAATCAGGTGCCTATTCTACATTATGAACTTTTTATTACTATTTATTTGTTGCTATCAGGTACCCAAGTTTAGTGTTTTGTTAATTAATAAGTGTTGATATTTGTTTCGACCTCTCCATGGAAAAATTTGAAGAAATATTCCTTCAATTGGAACTTTTTTCATAAGAAAAATCCATAACCAACTATCAAAATTCAATATTTTAGTGATTTTGAGCAATTTTGAAAATTTTATATTCAGTTAAATACTCTCTGTAGGTTATATTATATTATATTCAGTCTTTATATATCATTTTGAAGACAAAAAAATGAGGAATTTAATGAGCTTATGAAATACAGGGTGTTCTATTTAAAAAATCATAAGTTTGAGTCGTATCTACAAAACCATACCCCGAAAAAAAAATTTAAGTGCGCCACTGGATTATGCGTGAAATTTTCTATGCGATAAGATTTCGATTTGACATTTTTGTTGAGGAACTTCGTGGATATAGAGGGGGTCCAAAAAGTATAAATTTTCAAAATCGCCCTGTATCTCATAAACGGAAACAGTCCTGCAAAATCTGATTAGGCCATCTTGAGTGTCACAAAAAAGTGCCACAGGACCGCGGAAACCGCAAGGTTCTATCTCCAAAGATAACTGAGATATCAGGCAAAAGCATCGAAAACTGGACACACTGTACATAATATATGGTTGGTGAATAGTTGACAAAGTTGATGGAATAGGTTATCATTGATAATGATCTGATTACGAAAGGAACCCTGCGGCATTCCTACAATTTCTCATTATCGTCTTACGAGAATACGATAATACCCACAAGGTTTACGAATATTTTTTGTTTAATTATAAGTATGTTTATGTCTTTACCTATATAATTTAGTTTTCTTGAGATTGAGTTTCTCTTGTTTCTTCTTGTACTTTTTGTTTCACAAACATCAGGGTATATCGATACATAGTATTAGAGGGTATCTATAGAGTCCTGGTGGATATAAAAAATGAAGGAAAATTGTTATCGGACATAAAATATTATGATGCAAAAAGTTAAAGTTACATTTTTCAGTCTAGTCGTGTTGAATTCATTCAATTCGGTGAGATGAATTGCACAACAATGAAATATTTGAGTGGTCTATTATTATACGTGGGAGAATATGAGAGAATCAAATTGGGACTTCCTCAAGGATGGTCTTTATACTGCCAAACACGTTCATAATAAAAAATTGGGTTAATTCTTATTGCAATGAAGTCAGAGATATGATTTCATCTGTTTTTCCTTACTGAATGTGTTCGTTGTGTTTTCATTCTATCAATCATTTATTCAGTTCCGGATTTTATAAATGAAAAAAATCATTCAACGGCCACTGTGATTTCATTTGTGTGACTTCGCAATATCAAGACTTCTTTCTCTGTCACACTCATTGAGCATATGGAAACTTAGAACGAGAATATCTGCGTTATATTTTCAAAACCCTATCTCGAATTATTCAAAAGTTACAGTCCTATGGCCGTTTTTTCTCAGTATATTGTATATTTTTTCCATTCTAAATATTTTGCAGTCATTGTTATTGGGAATACCAAGAAAGGACCGACAATTTCTCTCACTAGTCTCACATTTATATTTCTGTCGAGTACAGTTAGCTTATATCGCCACCGTCAAAATTTTTGAATTTCATTGTACCAGAGTATTTCATCCTGATGAAGCTACATGAGTTAGCGAAACATGTCTTGTGATTAAGAATTTTGTGAAAATTTTATCGTTTGTGAAGTTTTTACGTTTGCTATGGATTTCCAAAAATAACATACCTATTATTTATTTATTTATTCATTGCATGTTTACCCACAATAAAGAGAAGATCATAATAGAAAATGTTAATAGTATATATTATTACATTTTATTTATTTATTTATTGCATGTTTACCCACAATAAAGAGCAGATCATAATAGAAAAATGTTAATAGTATATATTTCCAAAGGGCCCTATATAAGGCCCTATTCGTGTGTTGTGTGCCCTATAGAGCCCAGCATATAGTTTAATAAGACGGCCTTTCCTTTCACATGTAACTATATTATAACTAGGTATGTAATATACTATTATTATAGTAATAATGTAAAGTTCATTGAATCATTCACCGACTGTGTTGAATTTCAAATTACACCAAGAGAATCAAATATCAAATATGGGAAATCTGTCTAATTATTGAATTTTATTTTAGTCTTGGGGCTGACAACAAGATTGGAATCAACTATATGTTCGATTATACTGTAGATATCTGGCCCATTAGCTCAGTTGGTTAGAGCGTCGTGTTGTCAGTTGTCATCGAACCGCCGAGGTGGAAGGTTGTGTCGCTCCGTGAGTGTGTGCTAGACAAGGACAGAACGTACGATCTGTCCTTGTCGTGCTTGTGCGCGAGCGAAGTGCGAACCGCCAGCCAGTCTGGTAATTGATCGGAGTGTCGGCTCCGACTTGGAGTATATCTAGTCAAGTCGGACCAAAGACTGAACGGCCAGACTTAGGAGAATTTTGTGTGATACCTGAGTGTATATCTGGCCGGGTCGGACCGTAGTCTGCACGCCCGGCCAGGAAAACCTTCGCCAATCTATGCAGATGGCAACTTAAGCATAGATTAGGCATCAAAGACAATTTTAACCTGTAGTTTTTAAACAATTTTAATATTATTTTAAGTGTGCACGTGATTATTTATTAATTTATTAGACTAACTTATTATAAAACCATAAAAATAACCCCAAAAAAAAAAAAAAAAAATTACTAATTTTAAATATAGTTTTAATTATAATAATAATAGTGAAAAATTGAGAAGGAGAATCCCCCAGATGGAGCCCAGCAACAGGGTGGGGAATCTCTCCCGAAGGAAGGACTGGATCGAGTAGGTCCGACCGAAGGAGAGACCCCTACCCAGAATGCTGGGACACTTAATAGGCCAGAAGAGGCCAACGAACATATCAAAGATCGTCAAACCAAAACCTACGCAACTAGATCAGTAGTAATACGCCGTAACCCTAAAATCCAATACGAGCAAATCCCTAACTACATGAAGGAGAATCTCTTTAAGAGATTACCTGATGAACAAAAAGAGAAAGCATTCCTACTGTTTTATCAGTTGATGGATATACGAGTCGACGACTTTGATTCATGGAAAGACTTCGCGGGAGGAAGAGCACCTCGATACTCGAGACGAAGGAAGCCAAACGCAGAGATCAAAAAGATTGTCCAACAAATCAACAAGCAGATGAGTATGGAAGCCAGGCCAGAAGACTGTCCCAGTAATCTCTGGGAGCTGGCCCACCATACTCATCCAGATGAAACATTGGAGGATAGAGCGATCAGAATCAGAGCAGCGATGCGAGAGAAGAATCTTACGAAAGAGCAGATTGAGAATACGCAGATAGACGTGGAGGACCAAAGGAAAATCGACGAATGGGACACACTGTCACTCGCCTCAAATGCAAGAACAAGCACATCACCAGTACGACCAACAATCGATATTGAGGACCAAGATGAGAGAGACAGGAGGCTAAGGGCAGTGTGTAAGGCCATTTCGGTTTCTCCACCTGCTCGCTCTCCTCCCACATCGCCCTGCTCTGAAACTGAGAGAGAAATAGCTTCGGCTACAGAAAGATCTCTCAACAGCTTCAATTCTGAATCCCTAGAAGGAAGCGAATTTAGAACAGAGAAAGTGAAAACTATAATCCCCACAAGGCAACACGCGTCCACCTCACACAAAGCTGCCTCTAACAACAAAACAACAACAAGACAGCAGACCTCCCCCTTCAGCCTAACACCGAGGTACGTAGTAAGAGAGCCAGAGGAGATGCCAGCCCTGCCGGCCATATACCGCAGCTACTATCTGGACGACGAAACTACCCACGACCAGATAGTAGCAAGCAGAATACAGGCTGCAGAAGACAATCTGCTCAACAATGTGGCCAAACTAACCCCGGAGAAAATGGACATCACATCCCCACCTAGGAGACTGGAGAAAAGACCCAGGGAGCAGTTCGGAGCCCCAGCAGATAATACAAGAAGCAAGAAGGCGAAAAAACCAGAGGATGACGGATTTAGGGTGCCGAGGAAGACCACAAAATGGACGGGGGCTTTCCAAAAGAGGACCGACACCACAGTCCAGAATAGATTTGCAGCTCTCCAAAACACCGAGGAACCGACAACTAGCAGACCACCGCAACCCCCTCTTTCGTCTGACCCACCATCCTCAGACGAAGAGGAGGCATCAACAAAACAATCACAAAGTAAAGCTGTAACATCTAGGAAACCAAAGGCCAAAAACGTGAACTCTCAGCCACCACAAACAAAAAAAGGTGAAAAACCCCCACCCATCATCTTTGACGGCATCCTGAGAGACCGAAAGGAAATCATCCCCCTCATTAAGTCTCTCACAGTGAAAAAATTCTATTTCAAGTATGGAAATGAAAGCACCTTGCTATACACGGAATCTACTGAGGATTTCGAAAATGTCAAAAGAAGGCTCAAGGAAGACGAGGTATCCTTCTATACATATGCCCTCAAGAAGGACAAAACACACGCATTCGTGCTGAGGGGCCTGGACTTTGAGCCTGAGCCCTCCGAGATCATTGAAGAAATGGAACAAGAACATAAAATCAAGGTCAAGGAGGTCTACAGGCTTAACACGCGGTATAGGCCTCTCTACCTGGTAGTAGTAGACCCGATTGTTACTCTTCGGCTACTAAGTGATAAAGTGAGGACTTTATTGTCAGTCAGGATCACTTGGGAGCTGAGGAGGAACAATCGGGCAGTCACACAGTGTAAACGCTGTCAGCTGTGGGGCCACGCCACCAGCAACTGTAATCGAGATTACAAATGTTTGAAATGTGCAGGTGGCCACCCCACGGCTGACTGCAAATTACCCAACCAAGAGCCAGCGAAATGCGCGAACTGTGGTGAAGCCCATCCGGCCAACTACAGTTCGTGCATTAGCTACATAAAGAGGCTGGAAGTCATCAATAAAAATAAAAACAAGCGGCCAGGTGGACAGACCTATACCGCAGCCCCGCCCCCCAGCACGAATGCTTGGGAAAGAAGAAGGATGGAAAGGGAGGCCATGCTAGTAGAACTAGGACAGCAGGAGGATTCCACTGGTGCCCCGGAGCAGAACAGAGAGGCCAGACAGCCCAGTAGAAGAGGAGCGCCTGCACGCCCCACCACAAGCGCGCAGAGAGGACCTGGGGTTGGCAGAGGAATAGAGACGATAACGAGTATCGCCGCAGAGACAGAGCTCCTGGAGCAAAAGGTAAATCTCGCTGAGGTGTTCAGATGCGTGCGGGACCTGAACGACGCGATCGGAGGGGAAACAAACCCTTGGGAGATAGTTGAAATAGTGACCAGGTTCTCTAAGAATATCGGTAACTACAATATTAATGGTACGAATCGGCCTTAAGGTATGTATGATTAACATTAACGGCCTCAATAACAAGATGCCGTCACTTGTTAATTTTATATACCGCCGCAGGTTGGACATTATACTTTTGTCCGAGACCAAGCTCCATCATGATCATGAATTCAGAGTAAGAGGCTTTACCACGGTCAGGGTCGATCGGCCTAATACAGATAGATGGGGGGGAGTAGCCATTCTAATTAAGAACAATATCCCCCACACCGTTGTCCCACAAAGGCAAACCTCAATCGAGCATGCAGGGGTGAGACTGCGGAGTGGGGAGATCATTTTCTCAGTGTACAACAGGCCCAGAAATAAGCTCACTGAACAAGACCTGGAGGCACTGGTTAGTGCTGGCAATAAGGTGATAATCGGGGGCGATTTTAATGCGCGACATGCGGACTGGGGGAACCAGGTCACGAACAACTACAACGGGCGTACGTTGAAGGCATATCTGCAAGCCGCCAATGTCAACCTGGACTTCCCTAACACTCCCACGCACTATCCCGTCAATGGAATGACACCGACAGTTATAGACATAGTGCTGTCCAAAAACATGGTGGACATCTCTGAGCTAGAGGTGGTGGACGAGCTGAGCTCTGACCATCTGCCAGTTTTATTCGAATTCGGACAAAAACCACCTGAAATCATTAAGAAAATATATGATTACAAGAACACAAACTGGCGGATGTTCAGAGCTCAGCTCGACCAAAGAACCACAATTAAAAGTAACATCCTGAAGACAGAGATAAATCAAGAAATGGAAAAGCTCATCTTAAGCATCACGATGGCCAGAGATGCCACCACGCGACTGGTCAGCATTGACTCCAACAAGGATGAACTCCCGGAGGAAGTTCTTGAACTCATAGCAGAAAAGAAGGTCCTGAGGCGTCGCTGGCAACGGCTTAAAACCCCGGAAACCAGAGGCGCCTTCAAAAGAATTTGTAATGAAATTGAAAACCAAATTCGTGAGTTCAGGAACTCCTCCTGGAGAGCCAAGCTGGAGAGTCTGGACCCTCGCGACAATACTCTATGGAAAATGACAAAAAGGTTAAAGAAGAAATTCACACCCATACCTACCCTGGAGTATGGGCGCGAGGAAGCGGTGTCAGATCTGGAGAAGGCGATAGTGCTTGGGAAACACTTTCAAACAATCTCTAAAATTGACAAAAGGCCAATAGGTGCGGTCCAGGAGGACATGGTGGCAACAGCAGAGCAGATAAGATCATCGCCGGACATCCTGCTCCCGCGACAAGCCCTGGGGAAAAGCATTACATCCCCAAAAGAAATCAATGAAATCATTAAGTATATGAACATCAACAAAGCCCCAGGGCCTGATGGACTTGACGTGGTTCTCTTAAAAAACATGTCGCGCAAAGCAATTGTACAACTATATTACATTATAAACGCTATCATCAAATGCCAGCACTACCCAGAATGCCTCAAGACTGGGCTTGTGGTACCTATCCCAAAACAGGGCAAGGACCCTAAGTCCACCAATGGCTACCGCCCCATATCACTGCTTAGCGCCGTGGCCAAGGTCGTGGATAGAGTCCTCTTACGACTCATCACACACCACACTAATAAGCTGGACCTCATACCAAAGGAACAGTTCGGGTTCCGCAAGGGGCACAGCACAGTGTCCCAAGTGGCCCGAATTGTTCACGAGGTTAAAGAGGCCAGCAACAACAACAAGAACACCGTCATGGTCATGATGGACGTAGAGAAGGCATTCGACACCGTCTGGCACGAGGGTCTAATGTCCAAACTGCATAAGGCAAGAATGCCGATTTTTATCATTAAGATTATCGATGCATATATCAGCAACAGGAAAATCCGGGTCAAGGTCAACGAAAGTATATCGGGAGATTTTCCACTCGAGGCAGGTGTTCCGCAGGGGTCGTGCCTTTCACCTCTGTTATATACCCTATACACACATGATTTCCCTGTATTCGAGCGGACGAGTACAGCATTGTATGCCGACGATACGGCAATATATGCTCACTCGGACGACTCGAATATCGCCAGGGCACAGATCCAGATTCATCTGGACAGGGGAATCATACCGTACTTTGACGAGTCAAAGATCTGCATAAACAGCGCAAAGACTGAGGTCATCAATTTCCACAAAAAAGTCAACAACTCCCGACTGAGCAGACCTTTGACCGTGAAAGGGGTTGAGGTGGCAGACACGACCACCGTGAAATACCTGGGAGTCAAATTGGACACCCGTATGAGTCTGAGAAAGAATACGAACTACCTCATCCAGAAAACCCATAATGCCATCAAAAAGATGTACCCCTTGATATCCAGGACCTCAGCTCTCTCGCAGGAGAATAAGGTCCTGGTATACAAGCAGGTCATTAGGCCAGTGATGACATACGCGTGTCCAGTGTTCTGCAGCATCTCACCTACTCATATGAATAGGTTACAGGTGCTGCAGAATAAAGTACTCCGTATTATCACTAATGGTGATAGATACTCTCGGGTGGCAGATCTCCACGAGAGATGTGGTAATTTGCCGAGAATCGACGAATACATCTTGAAAATCTCTAATAGATTTTACAAATACCACATCGCTGGAAGTGACCTTACCCGGAATATGACAACAGTCAGACAACACCATAACATCCATAAAAAACACGGACTGATATATGCATCAACCGATGTTTTTAGGGAGCCTGATAATCTATAGTCGGGAACATCCCCGGGTGCTCGGACATGTCCGAGCCACCGAGGAGACTCTTGACAGCACTATCTCCCAAGCACGAAAATAACATAGTGTCGTAAAAGACACTGAACTCGGTCAGAAGTGCCCATGTGGAAACGCATGCGCACAACTGCCCGAGACAAACAAGAAGGAGGTTTTTTATTTTATTTTTATTTCATTTTTCCTCCAACGACTCAGCAACCCTTTCCACTCTGATCGCGCACGAGCAGCTCCCCCACCCTATGGGTACCACCAGCGAGATTACCTGTATAAAGGGCCTAGCCCTAGGAGATAGGTCACTGCGACGAACACCTCACATATCCTCTCATATTCCTTGGCTAACACCAGCCACCTCTGCGACTGCGGAGGGACGTTCAGTCATACTCACAGATATGGCAAGCCCATTATACACAAATATGTTGATGTTATATGTGTTGTATTGTAAGAACTGTGTCAACGAATAAATGAATTTAAGTTTTTTTTTTTTCGTGCTAATAACGCGAAGGTCGCGGGTTCGATCCCCTCATGGGCCATTATTTTTTTTTCTTTCTCTTGTCAAAATCGTCAGCTAGTAGGTACCTTGTATAAGAATGAAGATCTCGAATCCTTTTTGTATACTTACAGATGTCATTTTTATTTCCTGGAATTTCATTTAAAATAAGTAGAATGTAGAATAGGGATTTCAAGAGGCATTCTAAAGATTCAGATGTTTTTTCTGTGAATACTCAAAGGTTGTACACGATAATAGGTATAGGTACTTACCTATGAGTTCTTTCATCAATCATCATAGATGACTTAGATGAGGTATCAGATCAGGTAACCCATTTGATTATTTTCGTGAATTATCAAAAGTCATCAGTAATCCTGTTTTAAGTAATCCTATTTTATTGATGAATTATAGTATTATTGACAATATTTTTTTAAATTGATCTAATGAAAACACTAGAATCGTTATTCCGTTCTGTTCTTTCATATCAAATTGGATATTGATATGGATATTACCTAAGTAGGTAAGTAGGTAGGAGATCACAGAAAACTCAGTGATAAGAAGATAAAGGCTAATACATGATATTATGATGTTTTGAGCTTTCAATAATTAGACCGATTTTCGAACGAAGCAGTCCAGTCGGTAGAAATGCAATAATATGAACAGCTCATATGCAACCAATATTACAACTACAGGATTTAATGGTTGCTTAGATAACAGCACAACTTTCGCCTAACAGGCAACATAATCAGCCAGAATCAGCGCACTGTATACAAACTCTATTATGTAATATACGGTAATATTAATGTAATATATATGTAGTTCTGAATTCAGCCTTCCATGAAGATTTAAAAAATTGGCTTAAAATGATTTCATTCAGTACTTTACGAAAGCACTGTATATTCTGAGTGTACCTAATGATAATAAACTGTGCTATATATACCAGGGTGGCGAAGAGAACTAGACGACTTCTGCAACCCTTCGATTCGAAGAAAAAACAGAATAACACCAAGATTTTCAGTTGTTTCAATTTGGATGCTCTGTTGGAGTAATTTTTATGCT